TAAGCTTTTAAAAAAAATCTCAACACAATCTACAAATCATAATCTACCTTTTAAAATTCTCCAAAGATCGTAACTTAAGCTTTGATACCACTTTTCAGGGATGTAAAAACGTAGCCATCATAAAATCATTCTTTAATCATAAATCATTTTCTCATTTCATTCATAAGCATGATCCATCATTTATATAGAGAAACACAAAATAATCATATGCTTGATCTTATTTTCATACACTGAAAATAATGAAATAAAACATTCTTTCATTTAGAAACATATATATATATATATATAGATTCAAAAACAAGCAAAGTGTGTGAGATTCTACTTACCTTCATTCGATTCCATCACTTAGTTTTTCCCTCAAAATAATTAATGGCCTATCCAAGATCATTTCAATAGATCAGAATTTAATCAACCCTTTTTGAGACCATTTATACAAAAATCAACTGAGTTACACAAGGGTTAACTTAACTAATTAATACTAGTAGCCCGACCTCCTTTCATTAAAATAGTCATATCTCAATATATTCCAATCGTAATTATGATCTCTTTAATGCGTTAGAAACTAGACTTGATAAGCTTTCTAACCATATATGGCACACATTGTAATTCCTTATAGATTAATTATAACAATTTTTTAAATCCACGTCATATACTGCTGCCAAACAGCCTGTATACCTTTTGATAAAAATTATATATTTATTCACAAGAAACTCCAAATTCAATTCCGCTTATTTCATTGGAAAGTAGACTCAATAAGCTTTCCAAAGATATATGGCTTAATCTGTAAATTCTTGTATACAAATTAAGAAAAATTTCGTAATTCAACCCTGATGCTGCTGTTTTACAGCCTATATATCCTTAAGTTAAAATTAGACAACTCTTCATAGAAAATTCGGATTTGACTTTCGTTTATTTCATTAAAAACTAGATTCAACATGCTTTCCAATGATATATAATAATCACAGCAATAATATATCCATTAATGCAAAATTCTATTTTAATTCATTATTATAGATCATAACATCTCATCCAAAAATAGAATTTCTCCTTCAATCTTTAAAAACTCAAATCCTTACTTTCAGCCTTCAAACTCCATTCAATAATCATCAATAAATCTTAAGAACATGAAATAAACAAAGCCCAATAATTTACCCAAATAGATCATCAAGATTAATGAAGGATTTCATGATTTTTCTTGGTTTTTTCTCTCAAAACTTCAACTCCAAATAATAGCAATCAACTTGATATTTCTTTTCAAATAAAAAGAGGACATGTATTCACCTTTAAGGGATTAACTTGATTGTAGCCTCTGATTGTGAATCTTTAACTTGATTTTTCATATTTTCTAACCCTAAGAAAGATGAGAAAGAAGAACTCTATTTCCTTTCTGTTTCACGATAGTTAGGTTTTCTTTTATCTAATACTTCAGCATTTTTTTTTTTACTAAATAATGTTTTAATAAACTGATGGACTTTAGTATTAGTCTAGCCCACTTATTATTTGGGCTGGGGCATTACACCCATATGCCTGGTTGAGAAAGTTTGTTAGCGCTAAATGTTGTCCGTTCTTTCTTTTATTCTATTTTAGTTGTAAGAACGAACAAGCATTAAAAAAAAATGCAAACGGACATTGACATTGCATCAAGCTTTTTCTAGCAATGTTTTCCTCATTTCTCATTTTTTATCTATTGACTTTGAAATTAGATCAATACCTTCCTGGCCAAATATTGATAATAGATTATGAAGTTATATGTTAGATGTTATATGAGCACAAATGATTCTACTAAGAACTAGTAAAATAAATATTGTTTTTCTTTTTTCTTTTTCCAACACCTGAAATTAGATTTAACAACTTGTATATCTATTTTGTATAAAATACAAAATTAGTAGTATCATAATTCGTGTCCATATATCAAATACGAAACACATTTTTTTAGCTTTTACCAAACTCATGTATCATGGTGTCATGTTTAAAATTGCTAAATCTACCAAAAAAGCGTTTGTAAATTGGCTTCTGGACTCAATGTTTGTGTAAGCACTAGCATAGGCATGTATAAATCACTAATATAACTTAGAAAACCTAACCATTTAATTATGCTATATTTAACCTTAAGCTTAGTCATTTTTTGGTGTCTTAGTGTTAATTGACATGAACTAGCTGGCAGTCTTGGTCGCTGATGCGGCTTAAAATGGAAAGATATATGATCACTACCTGGAACTTTATTTTGATTCTGATTAGGGCTCTATCATTTCTTTGTGTCTGTATAGCATTGCTCCTTTCTTTTGGTGGTAATATATTTGACTAAATATCAATCCAACATTCTTTTTGCCAGACTGAAGGGCAGAACAACATGGAGGATGAGAGAGTTATTGTATCAGAGCCAAAACATAGTAATAATTTGAAATTTAGAATTTGGGAGGAATCCAAAAAGCCTATAGAGGATTGCATTCCCTGCTATGTTAGCTAGAGTGACATCGTTTGGAATGTTTGTGGTAACATATATAGGCATATATTGGACCCATTGGTGAACTGGAGCTTGCAGCTTATGCCATGCTATAATTTAAAACTGCTTATGCTAACACTTATTGCAGCAGAAAAAGTACTATCCAATAGAAAATTTTTCTGATTTAGTTAACAAAAATTGGCTAAAAGTCATATACAGCTACAGCTCCTTTTACATATTTATATCAAATACTATTGTGAGTTGTGACATGGTAATAGTACCTTCTTCTTCAATGTTATTTTTGGCTTGTATCCTCAACAGCTTAGAGCTGTGGTACAATGCTGTTCTAGTCCTTAATTCTGGCAGGATATATGAAATGTTACAATATCTTGCATTCTCTGTTTGGTAAGATCAGACCTATACCATAATTTGTTTTTTTTTTTTTTTTTTCTGGTTCATGTCAGATAACTAAACATAAAATGTTACAAAGTCTATTCTACATATTGCAGCCTCAATATCACACGTTGGGAATTCATGTTGTCTAACAGCAGCCAGCCATGTAAATGTATTGCTTCATCTATGACCAAAGCCTTGATGACTTCAACTCTTTGGCAAAATTCCTGTTGAGTTGCTGCAAACTAATGAATGTTTTCGTAGCGTGCACGTTTCCAGCGAGATAGGGACAGGAAATGCTAAAGTTGCTGAATTTTCCACTACCTCAGTTTGTCTTGGGAATCTTCTTCTGGGCTCTATGTTTGATATTTGGTCATCAAATTGGTTACTTTTTTACAAGTAGCAAAACCTGTCCTACTCTTTCTCAATTTTGCTCGACGGTATTGTTCAGCCAGTGCTTTCACGCATGCATATAAATTGCATTCTAAATATTATATATGATAATTTAAAATATAATATAAAAATAATATGAAAAAAAAAGTGATACAATTTAAATTTTTAACAAAAATTATATATAAATTTAATAAAAATTAAAAAATATATTTTATATATTTTTTGTTAATACGAATTATAATATATATATTTTTATAAAACGTGATATGAATATATAAATTACCCTATTTACCATTCATTTTCTTGATCAGCTTGTAAAACCTTGAATGCAGGTGTGGCTGTTGGCAAAGCATGGTTGCATATGTTCCTATTAAACTTTAATTCCTTAATTTTCGTTTATCACATGGGATATATTAAAAGTTCACATGATCACCATTATTGATCTTATATGTAGAAACTATCAATGATTACATGGAAAATTGTGACAAGTCTTTAGGTCCCACTTACAGAAAATTGGAAAAATCAAAGAGGTAGGCCAACTTTTCTTTGTCATGAAAACTTCATGGCATTGTACGATAACTTTATATCAATTAACTCGTGCTTCAGCCTTCATGTGCAACTTTAAAAAAAAAGTCAAGAAATAAAATAGTCTATAGTTAATAAAGAATTGAACTACCCTGTTCACTTAACCCAAAAAACCAACCTGATTCAACATTTTAAATCGGTTTTTAAAAAATAATTTAAATTTTAAATGACTCGAACTTAAAATAACAAAACACAAACTCAATGAATATTCACACAAGGAATGAATAGTGCAAGAAATAAAAGTAACTCAGGCAAAAAAAAATTCATAATTGAAAGAAGCTGGTAACTCCATAAATGTGTTTATCAATCAACAAAAAATCCTCAGTCACCGGCAAAGAATAGTGACTTTTGCTTGTTTCAATTGAAAGAAAGAAATTAAAAAAAAAAAAAAAAACTAATAATGAAGACTTTGCTACATCAAATAACAAGACTTTTTCTGTTCTCTCACCATCCAAAGATTTTTAGCCAAGAGCACCAGCAAAAGATTCTTTGAAAGAGTCCAGGAATGTATATGGCACCAATTTCAAATGAGATTATAAGTTTTTATTAAAGATACAAAATTAACTTAATTTGTTGCAATTGTTACTCCTGACTTGACTAATCTAATGATCACTAGGATTCCTTCGACCTTGTTGCCCTTTATTTTCATCATAATTTAAATAAAGTTAGTCAATGTTTGGCTTCATCTTTTCTTACATTATTTCCTCCATTTGATGTAGTTGGCTAGAAGAGTTAAAACTCAATTTGGATACAAGCTTGTAGCATAAAATATCAACATGGAGAAAACATTGACATGATATACAAATAATCTATATATATATATATAACGTTTGAATTGCATTACTTGTCTCAGTCAGCAAACACTCTCAAAATGAAGGGTTGGTAAATGATTTCTTTTTCTCTGCCTTTTAAGTGATATTATTAAACAATTCCCACTTGATCAGGGCTCCATCCACGTGCCTTCTGCAAACTTAGATCAGCAATTTTTTTTACTGAAATTTTTAATGTTTGTATTGAATATGTGAACCATTTTTCTGGTATAGAGGACCTGGACTAGCACAGCAGCAGCATCAATCAAGAGGGAAAGGAACAATAGACACTATTGTATATATATAAACAGCTTTCTTGGTGTCAAGAGCATGCAGCAGAACAGGCAGAGCAGCACTCAAGTGAGGAAAATAAATTTCTTCTTTTTCTTTCTTCCTTTCTTTACTTATATACCCACTTCTTCTTTTATTTCTTTTTTTGTTTGTTCAACACAAGTTTGGAGAGAAGGGCCTTGTTAAAAAGCTTGTGGGAACATCTCTTCTCTCCTATTGTGTTTAGTTTTTTCCTTTGCATATTTCTTACTTAATTGTGATTTCTGAAACTACTTTTCTTAGATTTTCTAAAAATTCATGTTCTTGGCTGGATTATAGATTTTGATATTTTTTCCCCTTTCAGTTCAGATATGAGATATGATAGCTTTATTCATTTCAGTAAGAATGGAAAGGTTTGAGTCCAGCAGGATTTTGACTAAACTGATGTCATCAAATATTTCAAATTGAACACAATGATCAAGAAGGAAAAATAGAAGTGTTCAGTTAGTTTACTTTGTTTAGGCCTTATTGTTTTTAAAACATGTGATTCATGAACAAAACTTGGACCAAAACAAAAAAGTCTAAGCAAAACTTCCATCTTTTCTTATTTATACAGAACTGATACAACAGGATGGATGAGAGGCTTCTTGGATCAGAGACAAGGAATAGTGGTGAATTAATAGTGGGAGTGTGGTTGGAATCGAAAAAGCTATGGAGGATCGCCTTTCCTGCAATGCTAACAAAGTTGACATCATTCGGGATGTTTGTGATCACACAGGCATTCATTGGTCATCTTAGCAAAGTTGAGCTTGCAGCTTATTCCCTGATACAAATCATTACAGTACGATTTGCCTATGGAATATTGGTAAGATCTAGATTTCAGAATGTCTGAGACATTAGACCCTGAAAGGAAATAAGTCGTATACTCTTGAAACTCCTAATGTATTCTGCTTCTGTCTTTTTTTTTATATGTATGTGTTGTAGTTGGGAATGTCTAGCGCGACTGAAACGCTATGCGGGCAAGCATTTGGAGCAAAACAAAACCATATGATGGGAATTTACCTGCAAAGATCGTGGATTATTAACCTTGGTGCTGAAACAGTTTTGCTACCAATATTCATCTTTGCTTCACAAATCCTAAAATTACTTGGAGAAGAAGAAGATGTAGCAAATCAAGCAGGATATATCTCAGTATGGTTCATCCCTGTCCTCTATGCTTTTCTCTTCAACATAACCATTCAGAAGTACTTACAAGCACAACTTAAGAACATGATTATCGGATGGCTTTCTGCTATATCATTTGTACTTCATGTGCTCTTGTCATGGATCTTTGTGACCAAACTAAATTGGGGGATTCCTGGTGCAATGAGTTCGATGATAATCGCGAATTGGTTCGTGGTAATTGGAGAGTTTGTGTACGTCTTTTGCGGTTGGTGTCCTAATACATGGAAAGGATTCACTTCAGCTTGCTTTACTGATCTATTTCCTGTACTAAAGCTCTCAATATCCTCTGCGGTGATGCTTTGGTAAAGTAACATCTTTTATTTTTAACTGTAATACACTTCAACAATCATTCTCTTTGTTTTTATCATATTTTCTTGGCTGTTGATCTCCTGCAGCTTAGAGTTATGGTATTATGCTGTTCTAGTCCTACTGGCAGGACATATGCAAAATGCCACAACTGCAATCTCTGCATTTTCCATCTGGTAAGATTTAAATTCCAAGTGCATTGATATGTTTTCATTCAGAATTTTTAAAACCAACGATTACTTACTTTGCAGTCTGAATATCATAGCTTGGGAATTCATGTTATGCCTTGGATTCTTTGCTTCAGCTAGGTATGGCTTCATTAATCATTTCAGTCACCATAAATTCTATCCTTTCATCTTTGCCTGGCAGCTTGAGCTGTCGAGTTTCGTTCAAACTGAAACATCCTGATTGTTAATTCACAGTGTTCGTGTTTCAAATGAGCTTGGGAATGGAAATGCCAAAGCTGCGAAATTTTCCATGAAAGTTATCATATGTACTTCAATCACCATTGGTGTGTTCTTCTGGGCTTTGTGCTTAATATTCGGTCATCAAATCGGTTACTTGTTTACAAGTGATAAGGAAGTAGTAAAATCTGTATCAAACCTCTCCGTCCTGCTTTCTTTCTCAGTTTTGCTAAACAGTGTTCAGTCAGTCTTATCAGGCAAGCATAAAAAAACTAAGAACAATTGAATTATAGCATGACTGAACCAAAAGTTCCATTCTGAAATTAGTGTTTGAAACTGATTAATGCAGGGGGAGCAGTAGGTGCTGGCAGGCAAAGTATAGTTGCATATGTTAACATTTGTTCCTATTATATGGTTGGGGTGCCATTGGGAGTTCTGCTTGGATATATTGCCCACTTGGAAGTTAAGGTCAGAAGCCTCTTTATCATTTTCTTTCAACAAATCATTGAATCTTAGATCTCAACATTTGATTCATTCTTGGGTTTAGGTTGCTACTTTTTTCATTCAAACTCAAACTTAAAATTTTTATCTCCTATATGTTACTGTAATTTTATTTTTCAAATTCAAATTCAAACTTAAAATCTCTATTTTATACATCAACGGATTAATTACATCTTATCATTTGAGATGATTTTGAGTAATTTCTATTTATTTTTTCAGCTAAAACTATTTTCTTCACTGGATTTCACAGGGCATATGGATTGGGATGATAATTGGTGTCGTGCTGCAAACGACTGTTCTTGGCTATATTACCTACAGGACTGATTGGGAAGAACAGGTAACGAAGAAAAATAGCAGTAATAAATAAAAATTTATTATTTTATGATTAGAATAAAAAATCCCTACATATACAAAAATTAAATCGCCACAATAAATACTTATGTATATGCTTTTGTATTTTAAAAAAAAAATCGCTAATTTTTTTTCCAAACAGTTAATTTTATTTTTAAATATATTATTAATTTAAAAAATTCACATCTATTGATAATGAAAATTTCAAATTTTACTGTCAGAATTAATTGGATTATACATAAAAAAAAAAAAAAAACAGTTGATGATCTCTTAATTTCATTTTTAAAAAGAGTACAAAGTCAATGTATAAAAAATAACATATTATAAACCATTTAAGTTACTTGCATCTGCATTAATGATTTTTTTTCTTTGCACGTTTTGCAATAAAAATAAACAATTTATTTAAAATTACTGGACTCCAGCCTCTTCTGTTTTGTCAGTGCAATTAATAAGTTTTAATAAGGATGGCTCATTTGTATCGGAAACCTAACAAAATATTTAAAAAATAAAAACAAAAACAAAAAAGATGGGACAAAACGATGGACAAGTACAGCTATAAGGATATAGTTTTGGACATTATAAATTAATGTCAGTTGGCATCCTAATCTTGAAGCTCTCTTTTCAAACAAGATTTTGTTACCTAATCTAAATTTTTTTAAAAAAAATTATCTATTAAAATTTAAAATTTAAATTTATTAAATATTATTTTTTAAAAATAATATTATAAACTAACTAAATTAATCTAAACTTTTAAACTCATAAACAACTAATTTTCATTAAAAATAAGTAAAAATCGATTTGAATTGATTAAATTGATCGAAATCAAGTGAATTTGATTAAATCAATTTGATTTATTCAATTTTGATTATAATTAAATTAATTAACTTGATTAATTTTTTATTTTTTAAATTGATAACTAAATTGATTAAATTAATTAACTTTCTAATAAATAAAGTAAAAAAATTAAGATAAACATTTTTTTTAATTTTTTTTTGTAAAATATTATTAAAATTATTAAATTCTTTAGTAATTTAATTTAAATAATACTTGAGTTTTATTAAATTAAATTTATAATTAAATAATTTTTCATAACAAAAAAAAAAAATTTGATTATTTAATTAAACCAACTGAATTGAATTGATTTTAAATCAATTTAGTTATGATCAATTATTTAAAATTATTCGATCGATTTAATTATTTGTTGAATAAAAATTAATTAAATTAATTATTAATTTTTTTAAATCAATCAATTTAATTATAATTGATTATTTAAAATTGTTCGATCAATTCAATTATTTATTAAATAAAAATTTATTAAATTAATTATTAATTTTTTTAAATCGAAGTGACCAATTATTCGTCCCTCTATTTTGCTATTGCATGCTTACACATTTATCTTTAAATTTTCACCCTTTACTTTTTTTTTTTTTTTGCACGTAACAATTCAAAACAATAGAACTTCAATCAAACCCAGACTAGAATGTAATGGAACAACCTCAAGTAAGCATTTATATGATCCCAACAAATCTGATATGAACAAATACTATTTGCTTTCAGGTGAAGAGAGCATCAGAGAGACTTAATAAGTGGCTCTTGAAGACATCAGAAGAATCCAATGGAAGTAACTGAATAAAGAGGGAAACATCTTTAGGGTTTGAGTGGGGGAAGGGGGGGTGTGACAAGCATCTTATGTAAAGGCCATAAAAATTATTTATTTAAGTTTGATTCTGGTATACAAATCTCAATATTTCCTTTCCCATTCCGATTGTTCATACAAATTCTAACCACCATCATAAGTTAGCATTATGCAACTAAGAAGTAGAGTGGTCACTGCATTCATGAACTATACTTGATTTTCATAATGAATATACAATTTTTGTTGGTTTATTACAGATCTTTGAAGGAACAAAAAAACACAACAATTCTGTAAATGATCATCCAAACGTCTACTTTGGATTCCAAGATCATATTTACCTTCTCAACAGATTATATGCTGGTAAATCTTTCACACTGGAGACATCTTCAAGTGAGAGCTCTCGCTCTAACTGTGTTCTTGTAGACTTCAGAACATCCTGGAAAAAGCAAAAGGGATAAAATGAAATAAGCAGGAATGCATAGGAAAATAATGAAAATCAAGGAATTACGAATATAAAGCTCAAGTTACACAGGATAGAATCACTTGTTAGAATAGTATACATTGAATTCCATGTATGAAGCCCGTTTCACAAGCCATTGTGCATCCATCATCTGAAAGGCCACACAATAAAGATTGTCGAAAGCCATTTCATCTTCCTTAAGTAGTTCCAAAAATCGAACTCCAGCCACTGAAGATGGTTTCCCTGCAAGTAAATATAATTACAACAATAAATTCAACACTGAGTCAAACAAACAGCAGATAATTAATGTAATAAATTTATTCTGCATAAGATAAGATTCCAATATAATTCCAGTCAGTAAAAGTGTTAATGGCAATGTTTGTGTAAGTAAAGACAGTAACATATCTCAGCTTCTGAAAGGGACATTGCACTACAATGGGCATACAACATTCAATATCAAATCAGTTCTGAATTTCCCAATACCTGATTGCAGATCCAACATCTGTACCAACATAAAAGAAATATTGATGCCGGCTACAGCAAATGGATATTCCCATTCAGCTCTGTTGCCATCTTGTTTGTGCAACAACCTCTGGAAAGATTCCTGTTCAAACAAAAACCAAATCAAAGTTTGACCAACCATGGCAATAATTCATGCTAATGAACAAAAAAATTGTTTGGAACTGCGGGAAAACACTTATTTACAACTGGTTGTAATCTTGTAATCCGTATATTTATATTTGCATCTCTAGAATTAAGTATTTGTATCTCTAAAATTAGAATAGACAATCCCTCAATTATAGGATTAGTTTTTTAGGAAGATTTAGTTTCCAAGTTTAACCCCTAGTTAGTTGTATATAAACCTAAGATTCTTGTACAATTCTCAATAAGCAGTTTTCCAACATACATTCAGTTTCCACACTGATTTATTTCTTAGTTTTTCCATATGGTATCAGAGCTTTAGGCTCTTCTTGGGAAGCAAAATTTTCAACCTTCATTGCCGACTTTTTTAGGCCTTCATTGCCGAATCTTGTTTAGGTCTTCATTGCCGAACCCTTTCAAAGAAAGATATCACTACCACCCAATTTGAGAAAATGTTAATTGAAAAAATCACTGAAGTACTACAGATGTCTAAGAAACAAGGAGAGTTCGATAGGGAAGAGATTGAAAAGCTAAGAAACTTATTGAAAATCCTTGAAAAGCCTACTGTATGTTCTTTGGGTAAGGTTTCAGGTTCAGGTAAAGCTTCCGGTTCTCATGGATTAAATGTCTCGGCTAAGCCTATTACGAGTTCTTAGGTCATTGACTCAAGAGCCACAGACCACATGACACATTCCTCACAAAAGTTTAGTACATATAACCTGTGTCCTAGTAATAAGAAAATTGTTGTTGCAGATAGTTCATTTACCACAATGGTAGGATTAGGAGATGTTCAAGTTAATCCCTCGTTTGTTCTCAAAAATGTTCTTCATGTTCCTGGATTGTCTACTAATCTGATATCTATACAAAAACTTACCAGAGATATGAATTGCAAAGTAACTTTTTATCCCTCTTATTGTGAATTTCAGGCCCAGAGTTCGGGGAAGATGATTGGACTTGCTAAGGAGAAGGATGGACTATACTATCTTGAGACATCAAATAACACAAGTAGTATCAAGAATAATTTACCTTTGTCATTTCTTTCTGAAAAATCTTCCAGTAAAGACAAAATCTGACTTTATCATTTTTGTCTTGGACATCCTTTTTTTGGAACCTTGAGAAACATGTTTCCTTCTTTGTTCAAAGGATTAAATGTCGAAGATTTTCATTGTAATGTTTACGAACTTGCAAAGCATAGACGTGTGTCTTTTCCAATCAGTAACAAAAGAAGTTCTACTCCCTTTTACTTGATTCACACTGACATTTGGGGTCCCTCTACAATTCCTAATATTTATGATGCGAGATGGTTTGTTTCATTCATAGATGATTGTACTAGGATCTCTTGGGTTTTTTTACTTAAATCCAAATCAGATGTGAATAGTATGTTTTTAAGCTTCCAAAACATGATCCAAAATCAATTTGGAGTGAGAACCAAGAAATTTAGGTCTGATAATGCAAGAGACTACTTCAACCAGAGTCTATCTACCTATTTCCAAAAAGAGGGGATTATCCATGAATCATCTTGTGTTAATACTCTACAGCAGAATGGAGTGGCAGAGAGGAAAAACAGCTATTTACTAGCCACAACCCGAGCCTTTCTTTTTCAAGCAAATGTACCTAAATTTTACTGGAGGGAAGCTGTTTTCACTGCCACACATATTATAAATAGGTTACCTTCAAGGGTTTTAGGATTTAAAACTCCTATGGAACTACTTTCACAATTTTATCCCAACCTCAATACCACAAACAATCTCACCCCTAGGATATTTGGTTGTACATCATTTGTTCATGTTCACAGTCATAACAGAGGAAAGTTGGATCCAAAAGCGATTAAGTGTATTTTTGTGGGGTATTCTTCAACTCAAAAATGATATAAGTGTTATCATCCTCCTATCAAATAATTCTATGTGTCTGCAGATGTCACTTTTGAAGAAAATAAACCATTTTTTACTCAACATTATCTTCAGAGGGAGACTTCATTCATGGAAGATAAGGATAAAGACTTTTTTTTGCTTGATTTGGCCCCTTCTTCAACATTTACACCCATTAATTCTTCTGAGTGGAAACCTGTTTCTGCTGAGCCCAAGTCAAGCACTGAATTTGAGTCTGAACCCATTCCAAATACGGAAGATGTGACAAAGGATAATATTGTTCTTGATTCTATGAAGGAATTACAAGTGTACTCAAGAAGGAAAGTTTCAAATCCTGAACCAGTGCCAATCCAAGAACCTGATCCTAACTCTGAAAATGAGGTAACTACAGTTTTTGACTCTGTTTCTCAAAATGAGTATGAATCTCCTAAAACTATAACTAGTGATTATGATCTGCCTATTGCCATTAGGAAAGGAACTAGAGAATGTACCAAGCATCCACTATATCCAATCTCTAATTTTGTGTCATTTGAAAAATTCTCACCATCCCACAAAAATTTTCTTGTGAGCCTAAACAGTATTTTTGTTCCAACTACATTATCCGAGGCATTATCCAGTGAGAAATGGAGGCCTTAGAGAAAAATTAGACATGGAAACTGGTAGAGTTACCTAAAGGAAAAAATCCAGTGGGGTGTAAATGAGTTTTCACTGTAAAATACAAGGCAGAAGGGACTGTTGAAAGGTATAAAACCAGGTTAGTGGCTAAGGGCTACACTCAAACCTATGGAGTGGATTACCAAGAAACAAGCACTCTGATTTAGGAAGAGTCACAATTCTATTAGTGTATGTTGATGATATAATTGTAACTAGAGATGATGAAAAAGAGAGAATCTCTAAAACAGTGTTTAGCTAGAGAATTTGAGATAAAAGAGCTAGAGAGATTGAAGTACTTCCTAGGAATCGAAGTAGCTCACTCACGGCATGGTATTTTCATCTCACAACAGAAATATGTGATGAATCTTCTGAAAGAAACTGGGAAGCTTGCATGTAAACCTGCAAATACCCCTATAGATCATAATCATAAAATTGGATAAGCTAATGAAGATGCTACTGTAAATAGAGAGATGTACCAAAGATTAGTTGGAAGACTCATTTTTCTCTCATATACTAGACCTGATATAGCATATGTTGTGAGTGTGGTAAGTCAATTTATGCATAGTCCTAAAGAAATGCACCCACAGGCTGTCTACCGTATATTGCACTATTTGGAGGCCAATCCTGGAAGAGGTATCTTATTCAAAAGAAATTCGGGGTTAGTTCTAAAAGCATATACAGATGCTGATTATGCAGGTTCAGTAACTGATAGAAGATCCACCTCAGGCTACTGCACTTTCTTAGGTGGTAATCTTGTGATTTAGAGGAGTAAAAAACAGAATGTGGTGGCAAGATCGAGTGCTGAAAGCAGAGTTTAGAGCAATGGCTCAAGGAATTTGTGAACTACTATGGTTAAAGATTATCCTAGAAGACTTGAAGATCAAGTGGGATGGACCAATGAGACTCTACTGTGATAACAAGTCTGCAATAAGCATTGCACACAATCCTGTGCAACATGACAGAACAAAACACATTGAAGTAGACCGGCATTTCATAAAAGAGAAACTAGACAGTGGGTTGATTTGTACACCTTATGTATCAACCAAGGGTCAACTTGCAGATGTGTTGACTAAAGGTCTCAACAGTGCAACATTTCAAGAAATTATTTTCAAGCTAGGAATGGAAAACACCTATTCATCAGCTTGAGGGGGAGTGTGGGAAAACACTTATTTACAGCTGATTGTAATCTTGTAATCTGTATTTATATATTTGTATCCCTAAAATTAGGATAGACAATCCCTCAATTATAGGATTAGTTTTTTAGAAAGATTTAGTTTCCAAGTTTAACCCCTAGTTAGTTGTATATAAACTTAAGATTCTTGTATAATTCTCAATAAGCAGTTTTCCAACATACATTCAGTTTCCACACTGATTTATTTCTTAGTTTTTCCACAGGAACAAATTAAGAAACTAAACAAGAAATGCTTTATTATAAAGGTAGTTCAGTTCTCAAATGCTCCATATGATAGATCATAATCAATAAAATGTAATCCAGGTTATTCAAGGAAAAGGAAACAAAACCGGATATTTCTTGGCAAAAAAGATGAGATTCTCCAATGATATGAATCCTCCACCCCTTCAAAGAGAATTGTAATAACATGAATAAACACATATCAGGAAGAGAAAACCCAATCAAGACAAACAGATTAAGGCAAAATCCTCAGCATACCGAAAATCCGTTGAAGGGTCAGACCCTTGCCATCCCATGTCCTTCCAAAGCTCTGATTTAAGAGATGGAAGCTCCCTGTTCAGGTAAGCCAATCTCCATAACTGCTTAAGAGCATCCTGCAAGTCAAATTAATAAGATAACTACATCATCAGCCACACCATGATGAAGAATCTTATATCTAGTGTAGATATTTGGAATGGGGGGAAGAAACCAGGAAGGATGACAGCTAGCATGTTCAATTCCAAAAGAAAATTTGTTGAAATTGGCAAATTCTTTTAATCAAAAGTTTGTCATGCACACTATAATTCATAGAAAAGAATTAACAAAAAAGGGAATAAGGATTAAAAAATACACAAGTATACTGGTAACTGATTATAGAGAAACCTACTTGATGCTCCACCAAAGATCCATCAAAGGGGACTCCCAGTCTTTGTTGTAGATTTCTCAGCCTTTCTTCCTACAAGAGCACAACATGGAAACATCAAAACACCACAGATTACCAATAATAAAGTGAAACACAATGGTCAGTGACAACAAGGTCTTTTGCTCTTTTAAAAGACAAACAATTGAATAACCTAAGCTCAAAAGACATGCTATTTGCCAACTCAAACACTTTTAGAAGAAAATCCACAAGGATCTTTTTGCCCATAAGTTCCAGTTATTTTCTCCAAGCACATTCTTGAAACCAACCTCAAAACTCCAATTAATTTCTCTTTCTGCTGCAATGACATTTTATCAAATTTCAAGTGACTAGAGCTAATATTTATGGAATTAGTGAACTATAGAATAGATACTCAAAACTGTGCATTTTGAGTAACAGGTGTTTCCAGATAAAAACTTCCTGGCCACCAAAAAAAGGGAAATACCTCCTTGTCCCCTTCTCCACTAGGGAAAAAGAAGACCAAAATTAAAAAAAAAAAAATTAAAAGAGGGGAAAATCCATACGTTGATTATCAGGGCAGTGCCTCTGTCAAAACCCCTAACCACCAAAAAAAAAAAAGTTTATTCAAATCGAGAAAAATACATTGAAAAGTGCAATGCTGATTATACCTGTAAAGGACTAAGAGGAGGCACAATAAGTTTCTGATTTAGTCCACTTTGGGTGTTAGAAGGTAGAGGTAAAAGTTGTGCGATAAATGATCCAGATCCAAGGATAATGTTTGCTGTAAAAGCCAAGATTGAACTATCAGTAAACTGCTATAAAATTCCCACCGATTACAAGAAAAGCCAATGAAAGCAGAGAACTTAATAACTAATGGGCATACAGCATTACATTCGCAGCAGAAAGCCAAGTAATCAAGAAAACAGGCAGTTAAATGTACATCAAATTGCTTATCCGAAACTTATAATTTAGAATATAATCAGAGAAAACAGACATTTTTATTTATACAGTGTCAAACTATGACCTTCTCTTATAAGAGTATAATTCCTTTGAGGATACATTTTCTTCATCCCTTTAACAATGCCACCAATTAGGGACATTTTTAGTTCACATGGAGAAGTAAACAAGGGAAGAACTAGAATAAATTGCTTTCAGAACATTTTGGTTCTCTGTCTTTACTCATATAACTTCTCCTTTTGAGGGGTATACACTTCTCTTTTATGATAAACACAACAGTCCTCCACTATATATGAATGAATGCAAAGTTATAAAATCATGCAACTAGTAAACAACACCAATGACCAAAACAGATAGTAATGGGGCATTTGTGTTTCTATAAATTACATTGATAGAGAGATATCCCCATAATTACACTTTTTATCAAGGGAATCTTTGGCACATACATAGAAGATGTGAAGGGAGCAGTCAGAAAACTTGTGGTAAAAGTTTCCCTAGCAGCATAAGCATATTCAGGTCTAGACTCTAGCCTAACCAAATTATATGAATGGAAATCTAATATACCAATCTAATCAACAGACTCTAGCGTAACCAAATTATATGAATGAAATCTAATACACCAATCTAATCAACAGAGTAGTAACTGGCTAGTTTAATGGTTTAACTTTCAAAGTTAGCAACCAGCAACCAAAAGAAACAATAGAATACAAGTGTCTTGAAACGGCAATTATAGACATTATAAACAATAAAACCCCACATCTGTAAGGAAGAAACCACACTGATAATACCATACCTATCCACTGTGCCCATTGCGTGATCAGGTTAGAGAACAAAAACATCCAATGTAAATGTTCCTTCCTTCGCTCTTCGTCCCTAATTTCCTCTAGCGTTTGCACCTATAGCATATCAAAGAAATTAAATTAAACATTTGCAATACTCTATTCTTGCAAAAAGCTATACTTAGCATAAATATTGACATAATCACCTCAGAATGTTTGTCATCATTATAGTGATTCCCTAACAAAGGTTCATCTAAACCATCTAAACTAGTCGTATCATAATTCTCATTCCTTCCTCCACCAACATCCCCATGATGAAGCCGCCTTCTCAAAGCACCGGACCTCATTAATTACAGCCTAAAGTTTGCACCCAATTCTTCTTAAACCCTAACAACATTTTAAAAAGCAACATAGGGAAACAAAATTTATATCAAAATCCTCAAACTGCTATAATAGATTAAACAAGAAAATACCCAGAAATTCAATTAGCACTTAAAACAAAGGTCTGTAACAAAATTCTCTTCAAAATTTCAAATTAGCCACAATTTTGCATCCCAAAACTGCTATAATGAAAAATATTAAAAGAAAGAAAATTAAACAAGTAACCAGAAATTCAACTGATAAAGAAAAATCCAATTTTGGCAACAAAATTCTACTGAAAGTTTCAAATTTGGTTTAAAATTGGTATCTAAAACTAATAAAATGAAAACAAAAAACGCCAGACAAAACCCGTTTTCATTATTTTTTTCAGAACAAAAAAAAAAATCAATAACACCCAAGAAAACAAAAATCAAGGAGAAAAAAGAAACTAACCCCAATGCTCAAGAGAGCTGCGGAGATCGAATTTGGAGAAGGGCTTAATGTACAGTAAGAAGAAACCCTGCTAGCTAAGAAAAGCTCGTAAACCCCAAAATAATGGTAATTGAATCTTTTGCTTACTAATCAAGAAATTATTAAGAAAAGGGTTAACAGGGTTTTGAGCTCTGATATTTCTCTCACTCCTGGATTTATTTTTTATTTCATTGTTGGAACTCGTCGGGGTAAGAGAGAAAAAAAGAGACTCTAAATCCAAATTTAATTAGGATTATTGTTATCATTAAGATACTAATCCTTCTGAAGTTCTTATCGCTTAAGCAAAATTAGGGGGAAAACGAAGTTAAGTGGTTTTGCAACTGATCCGTACTCCGGACCCGGACATCCCGGGTCTAAAATTCAATATCCATATACCCTTAAAAATTTATACTGCAGAGTAGAAATTTTAGATTTTAGTACTTTAAAATCTAAACCAATTTAATTTTTTTTTTATGATTTAAAGTGAAATAAAATCACATACGAATTACGTTTTTTCTTTTTTTTTAGAGGAGTTACGTACTAATTCAAATGATTTTTATACTGATTAAATTTTTAAAAATTACAAATCTAAAAGCATTTAAATGCGTAAATAAAAATTAAAATACAATTATATTTCCCAAAAACAAAAAGCTCTCCTAAATCAAAATAATTATATTTCCAAAACCATTTATTTATTAACCCTACTCATATTTATTAATAGGATGAGATGCAATTGAGTTTCAGAGGGAATAAAATTAGAGTTTAACACTTCCCCGACCTAGTAAATAGTTACATAAGTAGCGAAAACGTATTTCAAGGATTTCACTGCCCCCTCTGTAAATCCATCTCGGACCACGGCAGTTCCTTTTTACTTTGGTACATCTACAGACAGGTTATCACTGAGCTATCATGTATTAGTACTGAAACAAGAGTTTGAAGGGAACCACGGGACATTTTTTTAGAACAGGCGGCTAAACCATGGAACTCAGCACAGAGCAAATGGGTTAGGAAGTAGGACGATGAGGGCATGGTCATGCTCTGACTTAAATCTAAAGACAAACTGCTGCCAAAAAATTCTCTACTAATTTACATTTTACATGGCCACTCTCAGCCTTCATTATTTTCAAGGAAATATAACATTGGTGTACTGTGGTATCGGTCAATGGGTTTGCCCTAAAAATGGGAATACCAGATGCACCTTTCATGACCCTTTACCTGTAGTATGATAGATTTTTCTAGCAAAGCTTACTGCCGAGGTACAGGTGGTGTCGACTGAGGGTTTTGCCCATAAAACCCAATACCTGGTGGCCGGTAAAATCCTCCAGTGGTTGGCCGCTGCTGAGGCTGAGGCTGAGGCTGAGACTGTGGCTGCTGCAGAGGCTGAGACTGAGACTGTGGCTGCTGTTGAGGCTGAGAAGTAGGCCTAGCTAAACTCACTGCTATATGTGGGGGAAGAGGAGGTGGTGGTGGCAGTGTGTTCGCTGCATAACCATAAGGCATTACCCCTACCATCATACCAGATGACTGCACATATTGACTTGCTGATGGATTTGCGGGAGATAGAGGTGGAGGGGGAGGGAGAGGAGGAGCAGAAGCAAAGGGAGCTTGAATCTGGTTGCCTTGGGACATAGGCTGCATAGCAGCCGACACTGCAAGTTGCATGTTGTTTTTTGTCTGCTGCTGTAGTGGGCTGAAATAAGCTGTGCTGGTGACATCTGAGTTGCTTGCATCGGATACAGGCACTGGTTTCTCCAATTTTGGGCGCTTTTCTGGAGGAAACATTGATAATCCTGATGCGAACCCACTAGACTTTAAGCTACCATTCATAGAGGCAGCTTCTTCAGCAACAAGGGACGAAAGCACCGAGGTAAGCATCTGAGCAGAAGATGTTGAAGCAGCAAGTTTAGCAGCAACAGCCGCAGCAGCTGCTTTCTTGTTATCTTCTTCAGTTGTTTTTGAAGGTGCAAAGGAAATTACAGGTTGTGGAAGATGAGGTTGAGGTGGAGTGCCGGTTAGCTGAGCTGAAGGAAGGTTCTGTTCACCCACTACTATGGCCTCCACTGTTGGGATAGATGTAGCAGTTAAATGGCCAGGGACGGGGGGTAAAGCTAGCCTCTTCCTTACATTGCTTGCTTGCTCAATCTGACCACGAGCAAACTGCAACATCAACAGTATCGCTTCGTCTTGGAAAAGTAGAAAATTTTTTACAAATTGCATTTATATCACAAAAAAGTACAATCAAATAATAGAATCATAATCTAGTGTAAGGATAATATAACTATAATACAATAACCACAATAGAACACTAATATCAAATACCCAGATCTGAAATATACAATTCAGTGCCAATCAATTTTAGGTAAAATGCCTACATATTTGCAAATAGCGCCAGAATAAGTCAAACCTAGTTACCCCAAGATACACAGAATACCCTAATATGGGAATGTGATAGGTCCACTGATTCTGCTCTTGAGAGGAAGCATGAGTAGTGATAAAATGTCCCTGTTTGTTAATCCTACCCCATAATACGCTTTGCCTTGTGATAAACCTATTGCCTCTACATGTGAGATGGTCCTAAGTGATGATAAATCTGACATAATTAACTTTGGGAGTTTCCTAGGACTTTCTATCCAAGAGGGCATTTCTACATATTGACTTTGTTTTAGATAAAATGCCTCAAAACAAATTCCATGGATTTTACCCTGTTACTAGCACACCAGTCAATTTTATGATTCCTTCCATCATTAAAACATGTCACATTGCAAAAGAATTTTCTGTTTTAAGAGGATCTATACGGACAAAAACCTGCACATTTATGAAGTCTATTACCTGCAAAATATCAACTCAGGAAATTAGTTAGGAAGACAGCAATTCTTACTTGTAGCTGACTACGAATAAGCTCGAGCTTTGGTTCCTGAAAAACTTAAAAATTAATGAGTGCTCAACAAGGACAAAGATTCCAAACTATAATGGCCAAAACAAGAACACATGATGGTCAACAAACCATACTTGTTCCTGAAGTGCTTCTTTAAGTTGAAAAACCAAGGCAGCTCTTGTTGTTTCAATATTTTCAAGTTGTTCAATGCATTGCTGAAGTGCATTTTCTTCTTGCTGTAGCTCATCCAGCAAGGCAGATCCATTATGATTCCCTAAACAAAATCAAATATATACACTTAAAGTTGTTACATGCACAGGGTAAATCCAAACAGAAAGCAAGATATTTTAATAAAACAGAAGTTCAGTTTAATGAAATAAATAGTCAGTGGTTTACCACCTCAACCAAGAGATCCCCCATTAAATTCTTTCAAAACATAATATTTAAAACAAAATTCCTAAGGAAAAAAGGTTCAAACATGTGTTCTCTTTCGTCACTTTTTAATGGAAGAATCAATTGATTAGAGGGAGAACTAACCTGATCAGCTGCACCAGAGACATATAAAACACAACAAACATATTGGAACAAAAAAAAGAAATTAGAGCTCACTTATAGGGGAGAAACTTTCTCTATTAATCAGGACATGCACCAAAATAGGTCATATAAGAACAATTAATAAGTATCAAATTTCTTTTATCCCTTCATTCCACATTCAATGTGTTGATCTTATGTCATTAAAGATTTGATTAACTTATTCATATTTTGAGGACAGAACTGTCCGGGTCCTTGATTATGCATCCAAAATTAAGTCTATTATTTCTTTGGGAATAATTGTTTGTGTGCATGTGTGTGCATTGGTGGATTGCTTTAGATATTTATACGAGAGAGAGAAGCAGGCAAAATTATGCTGATAGGATTTTACTTTTGACATTTATATGTCGATAATTTACAACAGTGAAAAGGGCCCAGTCTATTGATTTCTACCTGAGAAATGTTGGAACTAACATTTCCTAAGTAGGGTCTTAGACTCGATTGGATATTAGTCCTATGTAGGGTCTTAGACTTGATGGGATTCTGGTTCCAATAACAAGAAATAACTACAAAAATGGACTAAAAGAAAACAAAAACGTGAAGTATTCTCTTGTCAGAATGATTTATGACCGACTGGTGAACTCAGATTGAAAGCCTAACAACGTCAGGAATTCACCCTACCAAGAGGCCTCTTTCCAGATTGGGGCCCGTCAATATATTTCCATCTTCATAAATCCAAATTAATAAGTATTTGCCACATATAGAGTCGTAATTACTCGACATTTTCTTCTTGTTTTACAGCTTCAGTATTCTCTCCTAATAGTGAATAAATTTTGATGAAAGATTACACTTAAAAAAAAAAACTTTATTACAACTGTGCAGCTCTCTGTCCAAACTAGTATTAATCAGGACAGAAACCTGTATATACAAAGAGAGGGTGAGAGATAGTAGTACACTTCTCCTTTTATTGGTAAATAAAATCTTAATAAAATGTAAGCATACAACATTAAATCCCATAGCAGAATTCATACCTTGAGCTAAATTACTTTCAACATCTTCCCCGATTTTACTTAAATGTTGAACAGCGGCATTACACTTGTTTAAAGCAGTATCCTCATTTGGATTTTCCTCGAGTACAGATTGGTATGTAGTTAGTATCTTTTCTGGAAGACCTCCAACAGCCAATTTCTGGAGGTAAGATGATCAAGAAAAAGAAAAACATTCAAAATCACAAAAGAACAAACCAAGAAAATGTTTAAAGTCATAAAAGAACACAAAGAAAATGGCTAGAATCAAATTGATGGATCAAAGTAGAAAGTACAGTTGAATAGATAAATTCTTACAATTCTCACTGCATGAGCATCCCTCTTCACAATCTTGATAGGATTTGAGCTTTTTCCATTGTGCACCGACGATGGAGGAGGAGAAGGAGGAGGTGTAGGATTCTTACCGAGCATTTCATCTTTAAGATTCTGTCCTCGAGAACCAAAAACTTTTCTTTCTTCCCATATGCCAACCTAAACAATTATCATGCAAGCACCACCCCCCCCCCCAAAAAAAAAAAAAAAAAACCCATTACCCCAAAAGAAAAACCCACAAAAAAAGAGGGGGAAAAAAGGAAAAACTACTTGCTAAATGATAGGACCACTGTAATAAAAATGTAATAAAACAGCATGAAATACTGCAACAATTATTCAGTAAACAAAGGATAATCTACCAACCCACGCCAAGGAGATGTCATTCTAAATGCAAATTATCTACAAAATAAATGGGGCTAAAATACTAAGAGACTATTTGGCCTGGCTGGGGCTTCTATAAGAAGTACTGCTGGAGTTGAGCTGTTCCAAAAGAGTTGTTAAGAAAAGCTAAAATTGCATTTAGCAAACTTAATACAGAAATGCTATAATATGTTGAAAAAACTATTTGATAATATTTTTATATATTTTTAATAAATAAAAAAATAAAATAGTCCATTTTATTAAATTACATCAATCAGTTTTTAGGTAATAAAATAAAGAGATATTTTTGTTAATTACAATAAAAAAATAAATGAATTCAATAGAAAAATGGACAATCAAAAAAATAACGTTAAATAATATAATTCTCCCTATAATTTTGTGAATTACTGAAGAGTAAAGTGAGAATGTAAAAAATTAGCACTTCTTAAAGAAGCTTTCATTTATAGCGTTGCCCACAAGCTCAAATCTGCTTCTCGCATAAGCAAAAATTCTTAAAATTTTGAGAGTCAAACGCCAGACTTCTGCTGGCATTTTGTGTTTCTATATATTGAGTATTGTCATAGCCTAAGGCAATTTAACACTAGCATTTAAGGAGAGAGGGAACTAACATATGCAATAATCAGTAACACCAATAATCAGAAGCAAAATTGTGACAACAGTTCTACAAAGACACCAAACTCATATTTATCAAATCTTTGGGTGGAAGTAATCACCATTTGACATACAACTTTTTTTACATGCATTTAGGCTAAAAATCCATCACCTAACAACTAATTACACATATCTGAGATTTTATTACATTAACCCCTTACAACTAAATATAGCCACTTCAAAGCAAAAGAAAACAAAATGCAAGAACAGCACTAAGTTAACAGATCCAGATTGAGTATTATGTAAACTGATTCCATATGAAAGCACAATACAAAATTGCAGATGCTTATGCATTTAGAGCAATACATCAACTGCCAAGAGAAAGAGAGATGAGGGAGCACAATTAACCAAAAGTAACAAGTTTTGACATACAAGCCATTAAATTCTTGGAAAGTAATAGACCAACCATTAAAACGGAAATGTTATCACAGCATTGGACCAGTAGTCAAAACCTGAAGTAGCTAATCCGTTTGACACAAGAACAGAGAGAAGACTGCTACATATTGAATAAACAACTTACCAGTCTGGTCACTGCTTTCTTTCCATACTCATCACCATTGTCATACACATGTTTAAGAGCTCCAGGAAGAACTTTCCAGAATTCGTTCACAAACTCACTTCCCTTTCGCCTGCTATTTTGCAAAATGTCATTAGCCAAATACAGAAAAGAAACTCGCTGTTCTTTCTGGGAAGAGTTAAACAATTTGTCCCATGTTTCAACAATCTGTTTTGCCTTCTTCCGGTGAGTAATACACCATTGAGACAACGCTGAACCAAAGTCAAGGAAATGCATGCTAACCTCAATTCATGGTAGTAAATAAGAAATATAAGAGGTATATTAGGCAACAATGAGTAGTGCTACTTTTTTTGTAAAAAAAATTTCATCCAAGAACCATTCTATCTCACTGGATATTATCTATTTAGTGAGAAAATTATGTTTAGAGAGTTTCATACTGCAGGTAGCTTTAATCTATACCAAGCAAGGAACTATAATTACTCACAATGCTTAGCCCCTAAATTAAAAATAGTTTGTTGAAAAGTTTTGAAGTCAACCAATTTCATAGGATTACATTACTATATATATATATATATAGGGCAATAATGCTATGTATGCAGAATATATCATTACATGACATTTGATTGAAAGCAAAACAAAAGAACAGACTCAAACTAATTCAAACATCAACAATAATTTCAATAAAAGATGCTCAACAATACAAACAGCCAATAATATCAGTATAACGAAAAATTCCTAAAAGCATCAATCTAAGGCCTGTAGGCATTATGGTTAGATCACACATCTTAAAGGAAAATTAGTAGTTACTGATAATTTACATAAACTCATTCTCCATTCAATTTAAATGGCATGCATTTATAACTTAATAAAGTAATATTCCTTATCCTACAAGAAATTACACTTGGATGTATAAAACAGCATAAATTCACAATCAAACCTCTCTTGGACCAAAAACAAAAAGGCCAAACAAGATTAATTACATTGTGTAAGACCTACAAGCCACAATAAAAACAATGTCACAAAAGCAAAAATCGTAAAATAAATACCTTATGAACTAAAACTAAAGAATCTACATACAAAACAATCTAACACATTCCTAATGCAAAAAGAACATAAAGATAATACTGAAAAGAAACAACTGTTTTGCCAATTATCTCATTCTACTATCAGTTTGCTGAATTGAGAAAGAAAATGCAACAAACCAAGATTAGTTGGAGATTTTCCAAAACTAATTTCACCAAGTTTGATCAGATACACAAAGGTGTTACAGGAAGAAACCAAAGCACACCAATCCCTATATTTCAAGGAAGATGACCTTTGGCAACAAAACAAGCACCTACTTCATGCCAGCCACGTAATCTAAGTCTTAATTAAAAGCCATTGCTTAGTGGAAAACAATAGACCACCAATGAAGCAATTTATGGCCATCTAAGATAGACAGCCAGAGATCCACCATAAAACAGCTAAAGGAAGCACAAATATGTGTTGCAGTAGAAAAAAATACCAGAAAAATATGCTTAATTCATGAATAGAGCATTAGCAAAGTGTAAGGCATGTGATACAAGTGAGAGAAAAAACATTAAAATATAAAAACAAAATGCTAAAGTCCAACCAGAACAAGAGCTTCAATAACAGAAAATTTAATGCTATGATTATTGTACTCAAAAATTTCCATGCAGAACAACTGAGGCAGTCATGCAATACAAAATTCATGCATAGCAAGGCCCAGACAGCAAGAAAATAAGAAAAACATGTGGCAAAAATAAGGGATACCATGACATGATAAATCTAAAAGCATCACATCAGCCTACATCATAAAGACCATAATCAAAGAAAGCATACATAGGACACGTAAATACATGCAGGATATATTATCAATCAAATTCATACAGTGAGAAATAGTTACTAAAAGAAAACAAAATAAACAAAAAAAATTCCTCTTCTTCAATTAAGAACTTTAGAATTACACTAGATTCCCGTAATCAGGAGTGTTACTTTAATTATGGACCACTAATGAAACAAGAAATTATCCACCATTACTATTTCTTAATAAAAACCTCCAAATAAGCTTGAAACTGCAGGATACATTCAATGCTTTGTTGCGAATTGTTGAGTTTTGACAGCTTCTCAGTTAGTATCTGCCCATCAAAAACGTCGTTGCTCATCTTGCTGCTTAATGAGCTTTTACATAGCCTGCGGTAAACTCTTGTAGTTATAGGAATTTAGGAGGCGGCAAGGCAGCAGAGAAAAGCATATTAAAAATGAAAAAAAAAAGTAAAATTATTATTAATAAAAACTCAAGAGATTTTCTATCATTTCATAACAGATTAAACAAGAAAGCTCTTTACATTTCATGGAAACATTGATGCAAGAGGAAAATTTCACATTTTGTCCAGAGAGATAAATTATGAAATATTTCTCTGATGATTCAGGTTATTGAACCTTGCTCCAACATTTTATATAACTCAAATTTGCCATCTCAGTCTTAAATACAAAATATCTTTCAAAAGATCCAGCAAAATAGCTATTAACTCCCTATGCCAAAGAACAGTCAAGAGGGCATAAAATCCCACATAATCAGATTTGTTAAAGGCTACTAGTCAACCATTAAATTCAATTAAAAGCCCATGCCTCAAGCATTCACAGCCCATATGCATCACGCCATTTTAGTTTGATAGTGACTACAGCTGCATCAAAACAACCATCCTACTTTTCCTTAGCAGTCATCAGCACGGCTAGAATTGTGAATTACTCAACTGGTAGCCCCATAATACAACCTAGCATTTCAAGAATTTTTTTTTTTTTTTCCTTAATTTATGATATCCTGCAGCACTTGAAAATTATACATATTATGCTCATTTCAAGCATATTAAATTTTTTTATGTAAATGTGACCATGCTTTAGTATTACTGACAAACAAATTATAGAATTCAATGCTCAAAAACAAGCAGATGAATGTTTTTGCGACATCCAGGACACACTGATTGCAAAGAATAATAAGAATAATAATAGTAAATAAATAAACTATACAACTTGCGTTCACTAAATGATATGCCAACAGACATCTAGGTAACAACAACAACAATGTTACTTTCTAACAGTGACCAATAGATTGGTTGGATAAAATGCATCCTCTTAGGAAGCCAAAAGACGAGGTCATGGGCTTTTCATCAAGGACATTTTTTTTTATCAAAGGAAAAGTGTATTTAGTGGTTATCTGGTCATTATTATAATCATTTATCAGTTAAGTGGAGTTTTGGAGTCTAGCAGTACTTGGTTTGCTAGCATGGGCCTTAGTCATGGTCCATTGCGTTTTATTTTGCATTTAGTTAAGTGACTACATATGGTCTTTAGTTTACATTAGTTGAGTTTTATTCCTAAGCATAATGGTTTTAGGAATCCTAGTCAAAGTAGGACAACTGATGATTTGCCTATTCCTCTTAGTATTGCCAATCTTGGTAAAATTTACTTTAAAGTTTACAGATAATTTGAGTTATTGGGAATTCTTAGAAATTTGTGATGAGTTTTCCCTCCCTCGTCTTCTTCTCTCCTGCCACTGTATTTTTTAGTTACTTCCCTTCTTTACAACCAAATCACATTTCCTCTCTTGTGACTTTCAAACCTAATTCTTGCTTCGTATTTTCATATCAATTCCTACTAGCCAAAACTCTTAATTCAAAAATTTAAAGTTTCGTTCAGTTTCATCTTTATCTTGAGATTAAATCTCAACTAATCCAATCACTAAAGGATTCATAAGCCCTAACCTTATTCCTAAAATGGCTATAAACCCTAAAATCCCTTCTTTTCCAGTCCAAACCACCATAAATCACAGGTAGGTAAAACTTCCGCCTTTCTTCCCTAGACTACTTTAATTAGTCCCAACAAAATTGAATTTCACAAACATGGTACATCAAGAATTTTTATAGGGCACCAACTTAAAATTTTCTCCGGATATGAAATTTCGCAATTATCAATACTTTCCTTCTCTTTCAACCTCAAAACCTTTCCTCGGGCTTTCAAAAATTTACACTCCACCCTAAATCCCACAATGACCACGGCATAAGTCTTATAAATTAGTACACACAAAGTAGAGTGAGTTAAACACAAATTGTCAACTATAGCTTTCATTTTCTCCATATAAGTTAATGCCTTATATAATTACAAGCTGCAGTCCTTTGAGTCTATTGATTGCTCTAATGCATTTCTACTGTTCAATAACATTCACAAAAATCTCTCCAACTATAAAACCCTTTTGCTAATTAAAATAATAAATAAATAAGAAAACTTCTCATTAAAACTAATTAGAAAGATTCCATTTTAAATTATTTTATTTTACAACGTATACATAGACAAGAAAAGAAATTAAAACTAGAAACAAATTCCAAAAATAAAACTCTCAACTGTGCCAAAAATCAAAACTCTTCACAGACCTAAAGTCAACTCCCAAGATTTCAAATTTTCAATTCCATTTCTACTTAAGTTTCTTAGCAACCAAATAGAGACCTAGGGTTCGAAGCAGGCAAAAGAATAAAAAAATCCAACTACGTTTCCAAAGCAGAACGAAAATAATATACAAGAATTCAATTACGATAATAAACAAAGAACGAACCTGAGATTGCTTGGTACATTAGAAAATTAGGGGCTCCTTATAGAGAGAGAAATTTTGATGAAGAGAGCGAAAAACCCTAAAAATTTTGAAAGAGAAGAAGACGCCCTTTCATTTTATTTTTTTATTTTATTTTTTTCGATAGAGGAGAGACATGAGGAAACCTGTCGCAGAGAGTTTATTTTTTTGGGAGAAATATTAATTATTATAAAATAAAAATGAGAATATGAGGTAGCTTACGTGGGACGATCAGTACTGTAGATCTAAACTTTAGAGTTAAGTCTTGGATTTTTTTGTTCTTTTCCTCGGCATGTGAAGTCGTCTTACCAAGAGTAGGAGAAAGTGAACTATTTTGCTCTACGAATATGTTTACGATTATTTAATATAAAAATAATAATGTATATATTTTCAAATATTTTTTATTAAAAAAAACACTTTTTTTTTTTTCAAAAAATAATACGTAAAAATTAATCTTCAAAACGAACAATTTTTCGTAACGAATATAATCCAATAATCTTTGTATCAACAGTATTGATCCATTACATCTACGATAACACTTTATGTGAAGAAAAATTGTAATATCACTCAAACGAATATACAATTCACACTCTTAATTCAAAAGCTAGTGTTGAGGAAAAAACATTTTATGTGAAAAAGAATAACATACAGTCCACAGTCTTAATTAAAGAGCTATTGTTATAAGGATTGAATAATGGTTTTATAAGCAAAACTCATATAAGGAGGAGGAGGAGCTCATTCATAGGGAAACATATAACACACACACACACAAAATACAAAAATAAAAAAACAAGTCAGTGGTCACTAGCTTGTCTACTTCTAACTCAAGGAAGGCTGGAGTGGGAGATTCCATAGTAGAAAAGCCAAACTGTTGAAACCCTGCATGCCTTTCATCCGTTGAATTGAAAGCAGAAAATTAATTAGAACAAAAACAAAGCAATAAGGGAATGAATGCTATAAGATATAGTAAAGTTGGCAACTCTTCAACACTCCGACGCTGACTTCAATGCTATGAGATGCAACATTACACAGACATGCTGAGAAAGAGAAAAAAAAAATCAAAACCTTTAGTTTCACAGTGAATGGTTTAGACATCAATGTCTTTCCAACAATGTTAAAAGGTTAAATCCAAGATAAGGCCATATAGAAAGGCGAATGCTGTCAACTTTCAGTTTCACAGTGATCTAACTGACACCAATGTCTGTGTAACTAAACGTTTTCATAACAGGGATGATTCAGGAAATATAAAACTTCACCGCACCATATTTTTCTTTTTCTGTCAAATAAATATTGCGGTATCTAAACAACATTCAAGATGACTGCCACATGAAAAGAAAGAGACTGATACACTGCAAGAACTCAAACTAAGAAACATTTTCTTATGAACATCAATAATTGGAATCTACAGATGCTGATAAGAACTTAAAACCAAATTAAGAAACATTGACCTGAATCCATCAATGAAAAAAAAAAAAATTAAGAGGACAATGTTGCAGAGCTCATCTTGCCAAACAATAACTAGATCAAAAGCTAGTTCACGTAAAGCTATAAAGAAAAAACAAACTTCAGAAAGTACTTCTAATATAAAAAATTGTTGTAGCTCATAAAGATCTGGCATATGTATGTATCCAAAGGGGCAGAGAGGATAGACAACAAACATGAGAGTAGAATGTGTAGAACTAATTTGATCGGAATAGTCACTTACATGGACTCGTATAGTAACATTTGATTTATTAGTGGAAAAACTGATAAGGTAAACTGCAAAATGTAATCAAGTGTATAAAATTATATGAAGTAGCTCTCCATTGCTTACCAAAAGAAGAGTGGGGATATGGTGTCAGCAACCGAAACAACCTCAAATAGAAGACAGGTTCTCAAAATACTGATTGGCATGGATACTTTGGTAAGGCAAAATAAAATCAAAATAATGATAATACTTATCAATAGACTCAACATCAACACCTGGCCTTAGATCATATAACGATTTCCATGCCCCATCCATGAAATCGTAGAAAATTACTTTATTCTCTACCCAGACCACAACCTTTGGATCTTCTTCTTTCTCAAATTGAGTAATACACACATCAGAGAATCCAGGAGACTGATCATAATTATAACTCCAGATTATCTCAGGAAAATCCTTGACTAAACCGCCTATATACAGACGATGCTTCAGGGTCCAACAAGAATAATCACTGTCCATCTCAAAAACATCAAACTCTGAACATATAAATACAAAGTAGGTCACTGCAATATACAAAACGCCTCTACACTCTCCCAAATAACTGCGTTCCTTGGGTGCCTCCATTGTTGATATTGGCATAGGCAATGGTTCCAAGCTCTCATTCTCTACATCAAAATACAATGAGTCCCTCCGATAACAATTCCAATGAATCTTTCCATTACAGAAAACAGCATCATTAAATCGTATAGAGCCCTCCACACAGAAACTGATTCTAGAGAGACTCCAAGAATCAGTCTCGGATGAATATATATCCAGTTCATACTTGGAAGATTTATCAGACACTTTGCGGACACAAACAATCTTGTAATGAGGTGATTTGAGAGGAACAAAAGCCATACTAACATAAGATTTAGAACCCTGAAATGGTTTTTTAGGAAAAGATAGCTCCTTGAATTTCTTAGTGGTAGGGTTACAAATAAAGAACCTAGAGATGATATCTTTAGGGCTATCAACCACCGACTCACAAAGAAACAACCCATAACAAGACTGAATAACATTGATGTTAGGGGCATAATTCATATAATCAAAGAAAGGGACTCTAATGTTGTTATGCGTCAGAGGAACAACATCGAATTCAGAAGGTAATGTGAAGTACCATTTGAGAAGAAGAGCGGTAGGTGTGAGAAAGCCATTGGTTTGGTGGTGGCGAGTGTGGCAGAGGCAGAAATGAGGGTTGGAAATGAGAGAAAGCCACTGTTTTGAAACACACTTGAATTTGAGGAGAGGCTTTGTGGGTAATCTGAGGAAGATTTGGGTTAAGAGATCAGGGTTGTTACCAATTGTCTCTGCTGAAGTGATAATAATGGAAGTCTTCTTCATTCTCATCAAAATATCAAAGCAAAAGAGAAGAATTGAGCAGAAAATTCAAAGGAAATTCGAAAGCTGAGGAATACCCATTAATCAACACGGACAGCTAAAGATTTACATACCCTTTGACCCAGAATTTGAAAACTCGCAAATAGTTGAGTTTGAGTGCTCTATCACAGTTTTATCAACAGATTAATCAGTCGCCAGTTCCAAAAACATGAACAAGCCCTCGGGTGCTTGTAAACCCGGACGAAGGAAAACCAAAAAATAAGAAAATGAAACTACTGATCTAGGCGTGGAAACGTGTAATGACTGGCTTGGATTAATGACGCGTGGCTAATTAATTTTCAATGGTCAATTATAAAACTTCATTTTTACTACTTAACGTCAATGCTGCACCGGGTAACGTGGGGTGGTTATTTTTTAGAAAAAAAAAAAGTGAAAAGAGAAATTACTTGGATGGTTTAAGTTAGTAAGAACCAAAATTCTAAGCTTGCCAAATACTTGAAAAGATAAAGAAGTAAAGTCGGCTGCCGACCCTGGAGAATGGAGATGGATCCCCCACCCCTCCAAAAGTTGGCTGCTGTGCCAAAAAGAGATGCATCACACTTTTGAGTAACAGATTATGTATTCCTCTCATAAAATGAGTGACAGAATTTGAGCTGGAAAAGCTGCCAACCAGCCGCCTAATACCTGCTTTCGACTTTCCAGAGTCCAGACTAATGACATCAACATTTTTTTTACCCCAAACAAACATGGCCAGTCAGGCAGGCAGGCAGGCACGTCTTTGTGCTCATTGCAACCATAAGTAGACACCTCGGAATTTTCTATGCAAGCAGATTGATGATTTCCCATTGTTTGACTGATGACAGAAACCTTTTAATATAAGCTGTAACATTGAATTACCCTTTTTATATTTGGTTTTACTGAAGGAAAAATAGGATCAAAGAAGCAACTAGTGTCACAAGAAGACAATGACAACTTTCTTTGAACATTGATTAAAAGAGTTAGGGGACCTAAATGAACAGCCTGTAGGTAATTGAAGTTTTCCTGAGAGACTGGCCTGGTGGAATGTGAGATCAAGAGTTCTCATCTCCCTCCTGGTTTGACATACATCGGGAAACAAAAAGAATACATGCAGATTTTGAAAGAGAAAGATGGAAAAATGTGAGAAACCAATTGCACAAACATATTAAAATTGAACACTTCATCACTTCTACAACCAAAATATAATTTACAAAAATCTTCAAATATCAAAATCAATCATAAACCTCAACCTGCCTCACTTGAAAGGCAGAAAAGAACCAAAAAAGAAGAAAAAAGAAACAAACCAAAACTCATTCTTGAAGAAATCAATCATTCAATCAGTCAAAAACTCAACAAAACATGACTACCACTAATCAAAAACATGATGGTAACCAAACTAGAAAACCCAAGAACTCATCTCTGGAAAGGAGGGGGGAGGGAGGAAAGAACCATTTTAGAAGAAAACCGAAAATACCAAACTCTACTTTTCTTTCTTTCTGAACTATATTTTATTCCTTTCATTCAGAATCACTGGAGCTCAAGCTGGAACTAGAACTTGAGTCATGAGATTTTGCCTTCCTACCTTTAAGGTTCGGGTTTGATTTTTCAGATGCTTCTTCATATTCAATTTTTGGTTCACCAGCAGCATTCTCACTATTTTCTTGAATACCAGAGACTGCATTACTAACTTCAATCTCTTTAGTAGATACCACATCATGCCGCTCTACTTCTGATGGTCCATTCCTTAAGTCTGAAGAATTTGGCAGCTCAGCTGGATTAGATTCTGGGCCTTGCTGGAAAGCGTTATGTATATCCTCCAGAGATCTCGCCTCGACAACAGGTAATTTTGTATTGGTATCTGCCTGATCTTGCTGATTCTCAATCATACTTGGAAGAATTACTTCCTCAACATCTCCGCCTTCATGAAGTTGCTTAAAAGCCAAATCAATATCTTCTACTGATCTTGCTTCAAGAACAAGCAACTCCACATTGGTCTCCGTTTTTATGTCTTCTACTTCATATTCATTTTTTGGTTCAACAGCAGCATTCTCACTATTTTCTTGAAGACCAGAGACTGCATCACTAACCTCAATCTCTTTAGTACAAACCACATCATGCTGCTCTACTTCTGATGATCCATTCCTTAAGTCTGTGGAATGTAGCTGCTCAGCTAGATTGGGCTCAGGGCCTTGTTGGAAAGCATTACGTATATCCTCCAGAGATCTAGCCTCGACAACAGGTAATTTTGAATTGATACCTGCATGATCCTCCTGATTCTCGATCATACTTGGAAGAATTACTTCCTCAAGATCTACTCCTTCATGAAGTTGCTTAAAAGCCAAATCAATATCCTCTACTGATCTTGCTTCAAGAACAGGCAGCTCCACATTGGTCTCGGTCTCTATATCTTTGGCTAACAATGCAGATTCAGAATAGGCAACACGAGATTCCTCTAGTAAACCAATTTCCCTGACATTAAAGTCCCCTATAGTGTCCAATTCAGAGAGTATTCCTTCATCAATCTCTTTAATATCATCAACCTCTTCACTGATATTTTCCTCATCAGCATGAGGGGCATATACTTCATCTGCATAATTAAAGTGTTCTGATACCTCTTTGGGGCCCTCACTTTCAACTTCGTTTAGGATCTTGTCTCTCAAAAATTCTTGATCTGTTGGCATCACATGTTTGGGACTCTCAGCAGGAGCAGAAGTAGATTCTGAAGTCATGGAAGAGAAACTTGTTGAAAGTTTGTCCTCAGAATCCTGAACTTCGTGTACATTAATGCCATTGTTGACAACGTTTACTTCCCCTCTTGACTCAGTTGCAATTATAGACGGCTCCTGAATCAGAGTGGCCAGAGTTAGTTTCACTATCACCATTTTAATATAATTAGGATATGTAAATACCATAAAATTTGAGATAAAATTGCGTGAAATGAAGAGGGATGCATTTGAAAGCAACAGAAGCAAACAATTCAATTCCCGAGAAAATTCAGATATATCCAAGGAAATTTAAATATATAATGCAGTAAATTGCTTAAACACAGTATTTAAGCATTCATGCAATAACAACATTTCAAACCAGGTAAATCACTCAGCCGAGTGAAATCTTAATTATCTGTAAACATTTGAGAATGACATAATCCATGTTTAATTAGCTACGTTAGAATTATTGCAAAAAAAAATTAGCTACTGTTATTTGGTGTAGAAAAATTAGCTACTCTAACATATCATTATTTGATAAAAAAATAATATCGCTGCTTTCAACTTGACTATTTTCTTGTGCTGCTACATCTGGTATTAAAGGTTATTTGGATACAGCCATCAATTCCATAGTAGATAAAGAAAGAAAGAGAAAAGGAAAAAAATACCATGAAAAAAACAAACAGGATAGATAATCATTTTAATCTTACCAGAGTCCAAGCTTGCTAAAAAGAAAAATCATAACAAGGAGAACTTGATCTAAGGAGACCAAAATAAACATTGCATTTTAATAAATGAAATAAATTATTGAAGACAAAATATGCAAAATAATTGATAAGATTACTCTTAATCGAAGTATGGCAATTCATCAAGGGAAGGAAATTTAAACAAATAGAACTAATTCAATAATTTACCTCGAGCTTATTATGTTCATCAATGAGCAGATCATCCGTAGATTTCTCACACCATGACAGCTGTTTCTTCAATTCTGATGAAGTGTTTTCTCTAGAAGGCATATCTTGATAACTAGAGCTTGAACGAATTCCCCCCACATTCATATCACGGTCAAGACCAGTATCAACCTTTGAATCAGAACATGGTGATTGGACTTGATCCATTTCAGATTCCTTTTTATGCTCCTCCCTCAGGTTAGCCTCTGAAGGGTGAACTTGTTGAATTTGAGCCACAACTATGTGACCTGATTCCTTTGATGTGGATGAACTTGCATCATTGGAAGGCATATGCTGGTAAGTCAAAGCCGGGGAAGACAACTCCTTGGCCTTATCATGGTGACCATTAACACCAAGACTTGCATCAGAGTTTGACGAATGCATTTGATCACATTCAGTCTGGATGACTTCTTCCTTGGGCATAACCCTGCCCTCTATTAAGCTATCCTCTGATGAACTTGATGAATGAATTTCATCTTGCTCAGACTGAGAGTCTTCCTTATCAACTACATGCCTATCTGCTGGTTCAGCCTCTGAAGATTCATTGGGGTGCATTTGATGCTTTTGTTCCTCTGGTGAAGAATCCAAAACCTCACTCATTCCTCGGTCAACAGCAAGAGTCGACTCTGCACCAAGGCTTAATAAGTCCACCTGGTTCTGCGTAAAGCTTTCTTCTTTATTTGGCACATCCTTCTCTAATCCCTCATCCGAAGATGAGGACCCTGCATCTCTTGAAACATATTCAACCACAGATTCAGGCATCATGGATACAATATGATCAGCAGAAGTGGAAGAAACTGTGGATGAACCAGAATAAGTAACATCATGCTCACTAATCTCTGGCAGATCCCTTGCCCGTGGCTCATTTTCATTACATAAATCAGAGGAAGCTGCATGCATCTCTTGAAAACTAGAGGTACCCTGCTCAGCTGTTTCACCGTGCACTTCAGGCTTCTTATCAGTAGATTCAACCAACAATGAGGGCGAACCCATTTCAGATATCTCAGCTTGTGTGTCAGAAGAGACAGACGAAAATGAGAGAAGCTTCTTAACTGACGGAGGACTAGAATCATAAACAGGTTCCCTACGTTGATCATCATTCACCACCCTACTTGTAAAATGGAACACTGATTCCTCAAATGATGGGTGTGTAGAAATGCCAGATTCTTTAATTTCATGATCTCTGGGTTCAAAACCTGCAGATCCTTCTCCCTTGACATCAGATATCTTTTCATCCATTTCTGATAATGATGACAAACTTGATCTACTGCTATAATCCTCCTCAACTGGCTCTGTTCTGGGACGAATCTCACTTGCATTGATTTGCACATGAGTAGTTGCTCCAGCTTCAGACAAATTTGATTCCATTTCCAGCTGACTTTCCCCATCTCCCAATGTTATCTCAACCACATCATGATGAACATCTGTATTCTCAGCTTGGCCAAAAAGAACAGTTGATTCAATTTCACTTGCATTGAGTTCCACATGAGTAGTTGCTCCAGCTTCAGACATTGATTCCATTTCCAGTTGACTTTCTCCATCTCCCAATGTGATCTCAACCACATCATGATGAACATCTCTATTCTCGGCTAGGTCAACATCCACAGACTCAACATCCTCAGATGATTGGCTCTCTTCTTCATCATGGATAGAAGCCTGATCTTGATTCAAGATCAGTTCGGTTTCTTGAGAAACATCTTGTTCATTTGGCTTGTTGTCCTCCTCATCCACAACTGAACTCACTGATTCAGAATCAGGAACAGAACTCAACTTTGACTCACTAACTTCACTTGACTGCCTCTGGAATGAGGAACGGCTAACTCCTTCCGTTACTAGTCGCTCTGGAACAAAATAAGGTTTCCACTTAAGCTCTTGCCGAGAAACACCTAAAGATGATGGTCCCACATTGAAGCTTTCATGTCTTCTAAAGAAGGCTTCTCTTTGGGAAACTTCCCTTTGATTAAAATCTGAAAACTCTTCTTGAAAACTGTCTCCTTTAAGATCAGGTTTTTCCTCGCTTGAGTCATAAGGAAGATCAAAAGGGTTTCTTCGGGGCTGCAAAATGGATGGAGCTGACCCAGGAATGGGAGGTAACTGTAGGTCATCATAGGAATCATATGGAAGGTCAAATGGGTTACGTCTTGTAGAAATCGGTGCAATGTTTAAGGGAATATCAGCACTATCTAAGTCTATTAGATTCTTCTCAGCCATCAATCTCATGCTTTTACGGGCTCTTCTCCTAGCAATAAGATTCTCCAATCGTTGGTTTCTTTCAAGCTCTGAAGTCCCCAAATCCATGAGATTCTTCTGATCGTCCTCTGTCCATTTAATTGCAGATTTACTTTCATCTTCTTTATCTCCCTTTGCTCCTGCTCCTTCTCCCTCATCCTCATCCTCCTCATCATCATTATCTCCCTCACCTTGGTTTTCTAACTCATCTGACTCAACACTTTCATGATTACTACTACCATGAGACCTTTCTGAGGCAGCATCAAAACCATCACAAGACAACTGAGCAAGCTGTGGAGCTTCTGAGCCCAAAAGTGGATGCAACTCATCAAGCATCGGAATTATATCTGCCATTGAAGCATCAGGGGAGGAACTCTCATCACCGTCAGAGCCAGAATCCAAAGATTCATCATCTTCATCACAACCATCACCATTGTCGTCATCACCTACAATGCGTTTCCAAGATGACACCAGAGAAGAATCCAATTCATCACCCCTTGGTACATCACTGAAATCTGATGTGACTTTACCATCCCCCACATCAAGATTCCTATCTCCTACCTCATCTGCCAAAAGATATTGATTGTCTGTAGCCTTACCCATACTCAACATACCTCCACTCCCTAGCATCTCCTCCTGAATTTCCCTCTTCTTCTCCACGAATGAATCATTCAACAGTTCCTCCACCTCATCAACCACCCCATTCTCACAATGAATATCCCTAGAATCCAAATCATCATCAACTAACGGCTTATAAAGATCTGAACCATCACCTTCCTCATCTTCACTGACCTCATTATCAACCAAACCAACTTTCTCATCAGCATTCTCTACTATATCCCACCTCTTCCTTACATGTCTTTCTACAACAAAATCATCATCAGCAAAATCTCTCTCGACAACAGTATCATCCTCGGTTGCCCCAGTTTTCAATGGTGAAACTTCATGACTAACTTTCTCTTCTTCCTTTTCATCGATTTCAGGTATGTTTGGTGACCCAAAACTCAGAAGGGTACCAAGCAAAACAGCAGTGCAAACCAAAACAGGAGATGCAGTAACCAAAATAGAAAACAACAAAGGAAATGATCTATACAGAAATATTAAAAAACAAACCAAACCAAACAAAAATGGATGATTCCAAACCGATCTATAACATGTTTTAACTGACATCACCATAAATCTCCTAACTCTAACTCCAAATTCCAATCTTTCAAGCCCCATCTCTCACTATATATATGAATTTATTTCCTCTCAATTTCCAATCTGTTAAAAAAAGAGCCAATTAAAAACAAAACAAAACAAACCACTGGATCCAAAGGAAACAAATTTATCACAAAATTTAAGTGTAAACTCACCTTAGAGGCAGACTTAAATGAAAGAGAGAGCAACCAAATGAAGATCAACCCAATAGCTGAAAAGCAACGATTAAGAGTTTTTGAGCAGTGAAATTGCTAAATAAGCCAAGAAAAAAAGAAGGAAACTTGAAGCAAATCTGAAAATTCCCAATAACATAAAAATTAAAACTTTCAAGCAAGAGATAAAAAACCCAACAATACCTGGAAAAAAAAAAACAGAAACCCAAGGCTTTTGAAGCTTAAGAAATTGAAACTTAAGGGAATTTTTAAAATGGGTTAAATACAAAGAGATCAGCAATTTCAATAAAAAAAAAAAAAAGCAAAATGTTCTTTTTTTCTTTTTTTTCTGCTCTGTTTTATCTCTTTTTTTTTTGCTTACTTTTTTAGCTTTATCAAAACAGCTATGAAGCTGAGATGCTTTGTTCTCTTTTCTGAATTTTCAATTGCTTTGCCTTGAAAGAGAGAGAGAGAGAGAGAGAGAGGAAATGGGGTGGCACATAAAGAAGAGAAAGATTGAAAAAGAAAGGGTAGAAAGTTTCTGTCACATTCTTCTTTTGTTTTTCTTATGTTTTTTCAGTACTAATTTTTTTATTTTATTATTATTGTAGTCACGAATTTATTTATTTTTGAGGAAATTAATGTTAGTAAAGCTCGATTTTAATATAGTGAATTTTTTTATTTTTATAAGATTAAAAAAACTATTATATTTTTTATTAAATCATTATGCTAAATCGGTTTGTCAAATCTAAAAGATTTCATGATGAGATAATTTTTATTTTTATCATTCATATCTTATACACCAATCAAAGTATAAAATCATGACCAATAATTCTTTTCTTAACAAATATGTATTTATGATGCTTTAGAATATTTTAATTATTTTACCAATTTCTTTTTAATTTTTTCAATAAAACTTTAATAGTTCAAACTTAAAATATTTATCTAAATCTCAATTTATTGAACTGTCTTAATTAAGTTTAATTAACTATCATAAGATCAAATATTTATCTCAAAATTTAATCAATTTATGAATGAGTTCAAGTATTTGATAAGTTTATAATTTAATATGGTTGAAGAATTATTCTTTGTGATATCACAAAAGATTTTAGAACTTATAATAATTAATAAATAATTATTATGTTCAATATAATTCTTCAATTATTTAATTTATGCGTAAGATTGTGGAATGGCATAAAATTGATGAACTAAACCCAAGTGATTAGTTTAAAGATCACATGACTTGGTCATAATCTTTTTTATTTAAAGAAAATTAAAGAGTTTTAAGTTTGAATTTAAGCATAAAAATTATGTAAAAATCTTTTCTACAAGATTGACACTCTCATCGAATGAAGATTCTAAATTATTATTATTTGTATTTGTCAAAAAATTTAAAAAATTTTATCGAGCAATATTAAAATATTATTGAATATTTTTTTTAATATATTTTAAAATTATATATAATAATCTTTTAATCTCGTTAATGGAGTATAAAAATCTCATTGACGAGGTCTTAAATAAATTTTTTCTACAAAATATAAGGACATTGTCAATGATATAATCACATAGTTTTAAAACCAATGCCGGCCTTGCTAAGGTGTTGTGCCATGATTTTTTTTTTTTTTTTGGACTAATTAAGTGAGAAAGAAAAGAAAAGCTTGACTTATTCTTTTAAATACCAAAAGAGTCAATTTAGGGGTTTATTATTATATTTATAAAGTAGTTATCTTATTTGTTAAAAGAACAATTCTCAATTTTTAAACAATTGGGTCATGAAATTATTGTTAAAAAAAAAATCATTTTGTGAGTTTTAATAAGAATCAATTATGGTGGAATTAATTGATCTAATTTGAAAATTTTTATCATGGGTTCTACATGATTTTTCAAAGTCTTTTGTGAATATTATTAATTTTCAATTGCTGATCAAGCAAGATTGGAGACTTTTTAAGCCAAAGTGCTATTAAAAGAATATGTATAAAGTCTTGGTTGATTCCAGGCCTAGTCCTTGTTTCTACTTTCTAGGATAGTTTTTCTGAGCTAATTTTCTTCCTAATGGAAATCTTCACTATATTTTTCTTTGAAATCTTTTGGCTTGTCACCAAGATATAGAAAATTTCTCTTCCTGAGGCTCTGACTGCCATTTTCTTGCCTTGAAGTTCATGAAATTTCGAGCACTAAGGTAGAGGTTTACTTGAATGGGAGAGGGTTGCATCCATAGGTCACTTCCAGCTAAACAAAATAATCTTGCATTGGATAAATCATTTGATGTTGGTGTGAAAATTTATTATTCTTCACAGCTGAGTTTTGCATGCAACTGTGAAAGCTCAAGCTATCTAATGCAATTAATCAGTTGGCTGAATTAAAAGATTGCTTCCAGGCCGCCATCTGCATTTGAAATTTGATTGCTCAAAATGTTAAAAAAAGAATGATCTTGAAGCCCAATTAAGTCTCTGTCAACTTGCTTATTGTACTTGTTTTGCAACTGCTGCTTCACCCACCTGAATATCTTTTCAGTTGAGTGACAGCCCTTGTGTCTTCTCATCAATACACTTCAAATTTGGAGGAGTTGCTTCCCCCTCGGATGATAGTCCACCTTCATCTGAAGCATTAGAATCATGGTCTAAATCTGGCGACTCTGGCTGATGTGATTCAAACAAAATTGATGCAGGCGGTGATGAGCAACTGGAGTCCAGGAAATTTGACTTTCTGATGTCGTCCTCCTTCATTTGTCGCGCATACGCTTGATAATCAAATCCGGCTCTGTTTCTCCCACCAAGCGCAACATCCAGCTTATCCAAATCAAAAATTTCTTCAATTATTTTCTGGCTCTTTGGATCATTGGAATAAACAAATTTCACTTTCTTGTATGTCTTAGGCTCAAGGAATGGCTTCACCATCTGCCAGAGTTTCAATCCATTAAAACCATATGAATACTATGTAAACAAGTGAGCATGTCAAAGTTCATAGATAGTGAAGATGAGATAAAAGGAACCAGGAGAACCAGAAAAAGAAATTGTTTGACAGAACATAGGTTTCTTAATTCCCATTGACTTTCATATAAGCTACGTAACATATATCCTATATCCATGCCAAATTCTATAAACTGTAGAAAAGCAAAAGGACTAGATATTACAACTACGGCATCTGAAACAAAGCCTTTTCTTTCATTTCTTGCCAGGAGGACCTTATATAAGTAAACCAAAGACTAGGGAGAGAATAAATAACAAAGACAATTGACAGTGAAGCAACAAGCCTTGACATATCTACAACATCTATTGCTTTTTCACAATTTAACAAATTTAATTACGTTATATTAATACCAACATAGGGCTTAGTAAGTATCTTTTCTATGCTAGCACGCTGGCATCTCTTATGTATGGTCTAGCTAATGTTCCACAAAACAAGTATCAACAAAGAAATGCATGTGTGTAGCTGCTAGTGTCCATATTATTTACAAGATAATTATAGGATTATAGAAAATATAGATAACAAATTACCTATTTGATAAAAATTACTGTCACAGGAACATTTTAACTCAAAATTAAAAGATTAAATGAAGGATAGAAAGTAATAACATACTGTCCAGAAAGATTCAAATATTTTTGGGGGATTATAGAGGATTCCTACACCCAGTCTCTCTGGATAGTGATCCTGCAAGATATGAGCTGTTTCCCTAGTCACCTTAACAGATATACTTGCCATTGCCCACCCTTGGAAATCAACTAGCCAAACCATCTGCTCCTGGTCTTGGTTCAAATGCATTAAGGCATTTTCCATGCAATAAACCAAGTATTTGATCTGCCCTGATGTTGAGTTTGTATTCTGAAAAGGAGAACTTGTCCAAATTCATCATAATCATCATGATAAAGAAAACTAGAATAGTAACATATGCAAAGCCAGATAATTCATCCAACTAGTACCTGGAAACCAGGTCTCATGACAAGGACAGGCCTCCCAAGTTTGTCACAGTAATTAGCCCTGAAAATTTTTCCTGTCTCGGCTTCATGAGCAATATCTTCCTAAGAGAATTACAAAAAGTTAGTTTCAGCAAGATACTGATACATGCCACTTGCACCACTTCCTAACTTCACACCAAGTGGGAAAGTGTAAGGCTGCCAAGAAGCACAATCTCCCAGGTAGCCATTAATTACGGTTAAAGTCAGACTCCCAGAGATCCATTTGTAAAACAAAACAAATTCTAATTTCAACCCTGACCACCCAGAGGCACAACATGGAAAGGCGGTAAAATATCTGTATCGTGAAAAGTAAAGAGGAATAAAAGTAGAGTTAAAAACAATCTGAGCATCCCTTATACGGTAGCAAGGTAATAATTTTCAAAAGATCCAACGTGAGGAATTTCAACAGCTCAACCAAACCATATATGATCACTAATAATAACTTAGTAATTTGTCCACCGTTTATCCCGTAGTAGTGTGCGTGTTTGTGAATACTTAAGAAAACTAAAATTCATTGCAAAAAAGGCTCAAATGGAAAGAACAGAATGCAAACCCATCGGATCTTCTCTGGCTTGTATTGAAGTCTCCACTTCAATGTTTCTTTTAACATTTTGCTTGCCTTCTTTGCACTCCAGTTCCTTGCTCTGAGGTATCTTGATATTGATGCATCGGAACAAAGGACTGGTAGCTTCTCAGCTATTGGACCAATTAGTTTTCTAACTTCATCAATCTGAGGTGAAGGTTATAAATTAGTTGACCTTTTGATAATTCATTTTATTTAGAATTTACCCAACTTCCTAGTAGAAACTCTTACTATTAGATTAAAATTTAGCAATCTACCTTTTCAGCATAAACAAAGTTTAAGATAATATAAAATTATGTTCTTGGAATAAGGATTAGGAAAAAGAAAAAACAATTAAAATCATATTTTTTGAAGCATCATGGTGAACCATTTTGGTTTACAGCATCATGCAAAAGCTGATAAAAAGTTAATGAGAATACTATTCTGTTCCAGTATTCCTTCTTCTATATACTTAAGAGCTTATCTCTGCAACTTGTTATAATTCTGACTTATATCTGACATGTACTAACCTCCCCAACATTTATATAATTATCCAGTGGAAGAAGATTAATATGTTGTTATATAATTACTGATTCATTTGTCACAGTTGTTTGTTTTGCTTTCTCCATTTGCGTATTACAGAATTCTGTACCCAATAAGGAAACATAACCAATGCATTAAAACAAATACTAGTATAACATGCCATGAGTTAAGCAATTTAAATGTTCCATCCTTTTGGCTTTCCGTATGTTAAGAATGTGTTCTGATATCTAGCATTTGGGTTGGACACAAGAGATGATATTTCAATTCAATCACAAATGTCTTTTTCTATATTCCTGCTGAAAATAGTAATTTTATAACCTAGATTTACATTCTTCAGATTCTCCTTGTTGTCATGGAAGATTAATATATAGAGATTCTGAGGCTCATAGATTCTTATATATAGACTTTTGAGGCTCTAATACCACAAAAAAGTGAGATGTATTTTATTTCACGCTTAATTGTTTTTGACAACTAAGACACCAGCCTAGAATACTTGAACATCATGGAAGTACTAATCTGTACGTTAAATTGAAATCATTTGAAAACTATGTATATTAACACAGGCATAATATGGTGATTCCATAATGTTTTGATTTGAGTTTTTTGCACCTCTTTCTTTGGAATAATAATTTGTTTTACCCAATTTTCATTTTCTCTGCTATAGAACTTTAAGGCATAAAGCTATTAGACAGCTATGTGGGTGGTTTAACCGGTAACATCAAAGCCTCTATGTGATACAAAGTGATCAGTAGTTCATGACATATACTTCATAAGGAAGAAATTTTCTTATTGCTTTCTATTCTGAACCCTACGACCTAAGCTAATAGTAGAAGACAAGCCCTTGCATATCACTAGAAGGACACAGAAGCCTTCCTCCATTTTCTCATCAATAGTTGCATAATGACCAAGCAAAAGTTATGAAATGGTTACTAATCCTATGACACTAATTAATCAATCAATAATAGAGTCCATTCTGTTTGGCTGAAAAAAGAAAACCTTTCTTGTTTCAAGAATTCAGCTATTAAAATGTACCTGTGCTTGTTGCTCTGCTGGGGACAAAGACTTATCTTTAGTACTTCTTTTCAATTGTATGGATGACATTTTCCAAAGTTTAACAAAGTTGAGCAGATCGAAATGACAGGATGTAACCTATAACCAGGAATGAACTACATATTCAGATCAGTAGAATATGGCATTCCAAAGGAGCTCAAATCCCATAACATAAAAATTCATTTTAGATTTCAAAGCTGAATAAAGACTAGTGAATGTCATAATTAAACAATTGTAACCATGTTATGACTCACCAAACTCTAATAGCAGATACCACAGAGTAATAATAAGAAAAAAATCATAGATTCTGTGTCGTACCATGAGATAAATGCTTGAGAAAAGACCATCAGGTACAGGGTTTTACACGGTATAGACATCTGAAACTCTATATTACTTCAAATTTATATACAAAGTTATGCAACTTAATCATCTTTCTATTTGTGTATGTTATTCAACTTGATTCCACATCATAGACCTAATAGTATAAGCACCGACAGAAAATATCCAAGCAGAGTTTGGAATTTGAACAGTGTATTTTCTCCTTCAGTATTTAACATATAAACTATAATCTCATATAATCAGAATTCTACATTTATTTGATTCTATTCCTCCCAACTTTAGCATGTCATAAAAGTCTATGTTTGAAACCAATATTGACAAGAACGAAAGAGGGTATGGGGAAGAACCAAGAATTGAAGCCAAAAGAAATTTAAAAAACTGAATAAAGAACAATCAATGAAATAACAATGAAAAACAATCATCCAAAGGAATAGCATCATTCTATTAGGGAAAAAAGAGAAAGGAAAATAACAAAATTAAGACTTCAACTTTGGTCAAGATAGGGAAATTCTATGCCTATAAAGCTCTAATAAAATTAGGGAGGGCCAATTCAGGTGGAGACGCACTATCTACTATCACATGTTGAAAATGCCTTATCACATTATCTGCAAGCTGATGTAACTTCTCTGTACTAATCATGGTGATCATAGCCAATTCAAGGATTACTAACAACCAGACTGTGATACCTAAAAATGAAAAACATAATACGTAAAACCTAAATTTGAGTTAGATTTTAATGACCATAACAAACAACAGAAGGAAGCTCTGAAGGTTCACCTGTGTGATATATCAGAACATGAAAGAAACTTCTATATGTGTTATTCTTTCTTTTGTTTTTCAGAAAATGAAAAAATATATATGGTATTAAAGCAACATAAATACTAGAAACAAGTTTCTTTGCCCTGAACCCTAAAACTGTGACAAATTATGAAAGACTTTATTTCCACTTTATGAACATCCAAACAGGGCCACTTTCTTTCTAAACTAAAAAGAATCCATTTACCAGCAGTTGAATAACAATTATCTTCCACCAATCCACCCATAAAAAGTGCTTTAGCCAAAGACAGCTCTGCCTCGCCTACTCCTTAGTTTGCCTCTTGGCTCCAATAAACCTAACATTCTAACTAACCAGGGATCTACAAAAGCACAATGAATATTAGCAACAAAGGAAAAACTTTGGATTCTATGTTGCTTTATCCCTTACAAATAAACTTCAGACCTTCCACCAAAAACTAACCAGAATTCCTTACATAGCCTCCTTGAAGACAAGATTATTAATACCCAACAATATCTTAACAATCTCCCTAATTTCCAGCTTGATAGTTTCTCAATTTTGAAATTTCATGAAACATCAGCTAATATTTATCTCTTCTATAGCTTCCTCCTCAAACCCACAAAACCAACTTCTTGAAAGCAGGGTTTGGCAACCAAAGTCCTCATTCTTTTCTTCAGACTAAAAAAAATCCAAAATTCTTTCCTTCAAGAATTATATTCAACATTATTCCAAAAAACAAACACTTTTGGGAAGGACATCAGTCATGCCACTGTCACTTTAGAAACCTATCAAAATTTGAATGATCTCAACCTTTTCAATTATTTTTAATTCAAAATTTTCAATTTTTTTATTAAAGGTTGCAACTTTTGATTTGATGACGATCCCTTCACTGAGAAAAGTATAAAATTTAAAAGAATCCCATAAAAATTATGATAAAAAAAAAAAGATCATAGAAAACCAAAGGTTTTTCAAAACAGAAATTCACCTTTGAAGTTGCTCCTCAGCAAGCTTGGCTTATTTGATCAATGAATTTGGCACCAAAAACAATCATTCCTGTACCCAAAAGAAAAAAAACGTCAAAGAAAAAAAAAACCCAGATAAGATATTCAATCGAATAAAGTAATCTTACAGAAAACAGAGAAAAAAAAGGTTGAAACGGCAGGAACCCAATTGAGATAAGAAGGATAAGAAGCAGTTAAAAAGATTAAAACAACAAAAAACAAATGACAGGAGCTTACGTGCATGGAAATTGACAAATTGTTTGTAGGAGAAGATTTGTGACTTCTATCTTTGTTGGAGAAAAATTATAATTAAATAAATAAAATAATGGGTGAAAGCAGGTGAGAGCTTTGGACTTTGACCAGCTGGTAGGGAGTTAAGAGAGAGAGAAAGAGGTTCAATTGGGTTAGAGTGACACGTGGCTCACTGCCACCGCCTTACGCCCGATACCTTGGACCAATCAATGGCCCCGGGCCCGGAGGGCTCTTGGATGATGCACGTGTTGGAATTTTCTTAAGCCATGCAAGCAAACAGAGTTTTTTCTAGAGGTGATAAATTGGGCTCATCGGATTGGGTTATTTCGGGGGAAAAAAAGCAATATTTTAAAAATTGGATAGAAGGTTAATTTTATGGGCTCTAATTCTCAATTCAATTGATGCAATATATATATATATATAATAATAATAATAATTTGTATATTTATATTTATTTTATGTTAAATATAACTATAAATATAAAAATTATTATGTTAAAATTTATATTGACATATTAAATAAAAAATATATTTTTTATTTTTTTAATTTTTATAAATTTTAGTTAAAATTTTTTAAATCATATTTTTATGTATTTTTTGTATTGTATTATTATATTATATTTAAAATTATAAAATTTTAATGTGTTGATCTAAGTATAAGATTGTACTGCAAAGAGTATTGATCTAGAAAATGAGGCAAATTAAATAATACATCTTTGAAGGGTCACTATTAGATACAAAATATATTATCCGTTCATCACAAATCCATTCAAAAACTGTGCACCCGGAAAGCTTCAGCTGAAGTTGTTTCTATCATATCAAATCATTTTGTCATGCTTTAGCTTCCTTATGTAGCATGAAGGCTCCTTTACCTCTACCATTTGATGCCAGGCCTACAATGTGGAACCAAAAGGCAAAAATCGCTACAGCATCAACAGCATGACATCTAATCAGAAGAGCATCCATCCGGATTTTTGAACATTGGCTATAGTTAGTAGCAGCTACAACATGACACACAACAATTTCCACACATAACGTATTTTCTAGCTTAAGATGTAAATGGAATTATTCTTTCAACTAGGAGGCTGTATTAATAAAAGATGAAAAACTAATAAACAATAATGCATTATTTAATTTATTTAAGCTGTGTAATGATGTTTTAATCGAAAAAAATGCATCATCATTTTATCGAGATCATATGAATTTCCAATGTTATTTTTTTTTTCATTCGATCACTACTGAATCAATAGCAAATGCTACCAGGACATGCTTGAATTGAAGAAAAGAAGTTTTCAATTGTGAAATTTTGTATAATTCAAGCCATAAAACCCCTCAAGTCCAACTGTCACTGAACGTTTCTTTATTTATTTATTTATTAAATCTATTAACAAAAGCAACCATTTCAATGATTCAGGCTTGTATTACAACTTAATATTAATAAAATTCTAACATAGCTAGAAAAAATAAATTGATAGTCTAAAACAAATTTATATGTATCAACATTTAGAACAAAGAATTTCCTAAATATATATCACTGAATTAGATTAGATTCTAAAAGATCAAAATATATTATTGAAAGATATTGAAAGAAAGGTATTATAAATAAAGTACTCTAAATAATGGCAACATGCAAGCATTTGTATGCATGCACATCTACCCATACATGTTTACAAACTACTACCAATGTTTTGCATGAATAAACAACAAAGAAAATAATAGCCTTACTGCATTATTATAAATGCAAAACAATCGAGAACTATTAAAGAAATTGTTTAATTTAGAAAAAAAACCTAATCTACTTATACTCTTTTAAGCATAAAAGAAATATTGTAAAATCCGAAAGCAATAATAGAATAATAATATAAAATTTTACATAAATAACTATAAAAAATGTCATAAAAGAAAAAAAATTCACACTATAACACAAATGGCATATAAAGGCATACATACTAGTTTCAAAACCTTAACTACTTGTCTCTAAATGATATAGAGGCAGTCAATTTCTCTGTCTTGGATATTCTAGTCGTTAAATATATTTAGCAACTTATTAAAAACAAATAAAAACATGCCTTTAATTGAACAAATATATATATATATATGTTTTTAAAAATTATTTATAGCGTCTATCTATTTGTTTCTAATATAATTATTTAGAAGCAAATTTATTGGTATTTTATTATTACTTTTAGAGACACATACTAATGACTTTAGTTTTAAATTTAGAAGCAATTAAAATTTAACCTAAATTAGGATGTTAAGGCAAAAAAAAAAATCAATAATTAAAATATTATTATACAAATAATTTTGAGACTTTTGCATTTGCCTCTAAATATATTATTATTTTTTAATTATTACTGACCATATAAAAAGTATTACATTACCTGTACACACTCACATACATATAGCAAACACTAACCAAATAAAATTTAATCAAACAAAAAGAATCATTTACAGAAAGTGAACAAGTAAAAAAATTTTAATTAATTAAAAAAACTACCATTATGGGTACATGATACTTAAATTGTAATGTCTAATATGAAAAACAAAAAATTTCAACATATTGATTATCCAAAAATACTACCTTTTTACACATAGCAAATGCTCCATAACATTACCATAACTATATATTTCTAGACATTCAACTTGACTTTATGATTGCAAAGTTAATTTTCAGTTTTAAGCACCTATTTTCAAAAGTACAAACAAATAAAACTAGTATGAGTCAAATTATACTTATTTATTATATACTCCATTTATATAATCAGTTTTCAAACTTAAGAAAATGAAGAAGGAAAAGGTATGCTGCCTTTGGTATGCACTTACTACTTTGAAAATATATCTAATACAACCTCGGCTCTCTTTACAGCTAGCTCATGTGGTTTATTATATAAATTCTTTATTCATTTTTCTTTTACACTTTTTTAGGAAGAGGTAGATATTAGATGACTTCAAGCATTGAAGCTCCTAACAAGCAATTTAAAAAGGTTAAATATAATATGTAATATCTATGACAATTTGATCTTTAGAATCCTCATAATTCTAAAACCACTGTTCCCCTGGCCAGACCTACCCTATTTTTTTTTCGTAAAAAAAAAAAAAAGGTTAATATCAGCATTTCTTATGTACTCTTATGAACCCACATCATGATGTTGAAAAAACTAGTGCAATCAAATATCAACTTAAGTAAGTATTTCATAAAGTATTTTTGGAAACTTATCCATCGACTTACTCTAAAAGAGCAAGATTGATTTCAAGATGAAAGACAAAAAAAAAAGCACCCATTGCACTGACAAGTAATGGACTAACCGATAAAATTTTCAATTTTAAATGTTGTTATTTTTTAATTTTACATAAAATTAATATATAAAAAATCTATTTTCATTAAAAAGGGGAGAAAGTATATTTAGATTTGTGTTAATATTTGTTTAAATTAATACCTAATAATGTAATCAAGAGAATTTAATAAATTAATATAACATGATAGATTTATTACTTAAAATATTTGTTTTTAATGTTTGGGCATAATCCTATTATATTACAAAGAAACTTTATATTGATAATACTAATAAATTATAATTTTATAAATAAATTAGAATTGCAATATATTCTTTAACAAATTACTTAAGTTTTATATAATTACTTTTTTGGTAAAAATCTTATAACTATTTTGCTGAATATTAAAAATCTTATTTTCCTTATTGCATATCTTTAATAGCTTTTATTAGAGAGTACTAAAAGACAAGTAGATAAATCACCAATGAAAGTTTTTTTTTTTTTTTAAGACAAAGTGGTTTCAAAATATCATAGTTCTACCAATCTACTATTCCCTCCTAAATGAAATAATTAGGCTGCAGTTATGCTGAAAAAAAATAATGAAAGTGGAGGAAGAAGATGAATGAAAATCCTATTGCATTTTGATACGTGTGACCTATTTGTTTTTTGCCTTTAAAAATCCTTAATTAAAGGGTTAAAATTGTATCTCTAAAAGCTAATAGATTAGTATGTAAAAATAAAATATTAAAGACATCATACCAGTTGTAATTTTTCCATTCATTTTGTAATCAATATTTTTAAAGATAAAAAGGCACATAAAAAAGCTATTATAAATTATTATATTAATTATATTTTTAATTAAAAATAATATATTAATAGAGACAAATATCATTAAATATAGTGATCTATATGACATCTGTTTTGATAATTTTAATTTAGAGGTAAATAAGCCTATTGTCCCAAATTACTTGTCTTCAAAAAACAGTTTGTGTTATAATGTCATTCAAATTAAATTAATAGGTCTAAATTAAAATACAAAATTTAAAATTTCATTCACATGTAGTTGAATGTGACTTTTTTTTTTTAACAAAAACAACTAAAAGATTATAGTCAGCTTACCACAACTTTTAATCTCTTTTGCAATTCTTGCAACAATATAAATTATTTAAAAAAATAAAAATATACTTTTTTCCCATTAATTGGTGCCGCAAGTTGCTATTCAAAACCTCAATAATTACTGTCATGGCCTTTTTTCATGTAAGAACTCCTTTACTAACAA